GAAGCCAGCATCACCTTAATCCCTAATCCAGAGAAAGATGCAGCACTGAAAGAAAATTATAGACCAATATCCCTGATGAACATAGATGCAAAAATCCTCAATAAAATTCTTGCCAATAGAATACAACAACACATCAGAAAAATCATCCACCCATACCAAGTGGGATTTATCCTTGGTATGCAGGGGTGGTTCAGTATTTGCAAATCAATCAATGTGATACACCACAGTAACAAACTGCAGGAGAAAAACCATATGATTACCTCAATAGAAGCAGAGAAAGCATTCGATAAAATTCAACACCCTTTCACAATGAAAACTCTAAGCAAATTGGGTATAGAAGGAACATTCCGCAATACAATCAAAGCAATTTATGAAAAACCACGGCCAGCATCCTATTGAATGGGGAAAAGCTGGAAGCATTTCCACTGAGATCTGGTACCAGACAGGGATGCCCACTCTCACAACTGCTATTCAATATAGCTCTGGAAGTTTTAGCCAGAGCCATCAGGCCAGAAAAAGAAATGAAAGGGATACAAATTGGGAAGGAAGAACTCAAACTATCCCTCTTTGCAGACTATATGATTCTTTATTTAGGGGACCCAAAGAACTCTACTAAGAGACTATTGGAACTCATAGAAGAGTTGGGCAAAGTAGCAGGATATAAAATCAGTTCACAAAAAATCAACAGCCTTTGTATACACAAGCAATGCCATGGCTGAGAAAGAACTGCTAAGATCAATCCCATTCACAATAGCTATAAAAACAATCAAATACCTTGGAATAAACTTAACCAAGGACGTTAAAGATCTCTACGATGAAAATTACAAAACCTTAAAGAAAGAAATAGAAGGGGATACCAAAAAATGGAAAAATCTTCCATGCTCATGGATTGGAAGAGTCAACATCATCAAAATGTTCATTCTCCCAAAAGCAATTTACAGATTCAATGCGATACCAATCAAGATACCAAAGACATTCTTCTCAGATCTAGAAAAAATGCTGAAATTCATATGGAGACACAGGAGACCTCGAATAGCTAAAGCAATCTTGTACAACAAAAACAAAGCTGGAGGCATCACAATACCAGATTTTAGGACATACTACAGGGCAGTTGTAATCAAAACAGCATGTTACTGGTACACAAACAGATGGATAGACCAAAGGAACAGAGTAGAAACACCAGAAATCAACCCAAACATCTACAGCCAACTTATATTTGATCAAGGATCTAAAACCAATCCCTGGAGTAAGGACAGTCTATTCAATAAATTGTGCTGGGAAAATTGGATTTCCACGTGCAGAAGCATGAAGCAAGACCCTTACCTTACACCTTACACAAAAATCCACTCAACATGGATTAAAGACCTAAATCTACAACCCAACACCATCAAATTATTAGAGAACATTGGAGAAACCCTTCAAGATATTGGCACAGGCAAAGACTTCCTGGAAAAGACCCTAGAGGCGCAGGTAGTCAAAGCCAAAATTAACAATTGCGATTGCATCAAATTGAGAAGTTTCTGTACTGCAAAAGAAACAGGTGAGTGAAGAGGCAACCGACAGAATGGGAAAAATTTGCAAAATATGCTACAGATAAAGGATCTACAAAGAGATCAAGAAACTCTACAACAACAAAACAAACAACCCACTTAAAAGATGAGCCAAGGACCTCAATAGACATTTTTCAAAAGAGGAAATCCAAATGGCCAACAGGCACATGAAAAAATGTTCAAGGTCGCTAGCAATCAGGGAAATGCAAATAAAACCACAATGAGGTTTCACCTCACCCTGGTGAGAATGGCTCACATTCAGAATTCTACCAACAACAGATGCTGGTGAGGATGTGGGGAAAAAGGGACACTAACCCACTGTTGGTGGGAATGTAAACTGGTCAAGCCACTATGGAAGTCAGTCTGGAGATTCCTCAGAAACCTGAATATAACCCTAGCATACAACCCAGCTATCCCACTCCTTGGAATTTACCCAAACGAAATTAAATTGGCAAACAAAAAAGCAGTCTGCACCTTAATGTTTATTGCAGCTCAATTCACGGTAGTTAAGACCTGGAACCAACCTAAATGCTCATCAACAGTAGACTGGATAAAGAAATTATGGGATATGTACTCTACAGAATACTATACAGCAGTAAAAAACAATGAAATCTGGTCATTTGCAACAAAATGCAGTAATCTGGAAAACATTATGCTGAATGAAATAAGCCAGTCCCAGAGGGACAAATATCATATGTTCTCCCTGATCTGTGACAACTTACCGAACACCAAAAAGGAAACCTGTTGAAGTGAAATGGACACTGTGAGAAACGGTGACTTGATCAGCAATTGCCCTGACTGTTGATAAACAACTTAATACTTTATCCCTCCTAGTATTTTTTTGTTTGTTCTGCTTAATACTATTGGTTGAATTCTGTAATTAATACAGTTATTCTTAAGTGTTGAAAGTTAACTGAAAAGTGATCCCTGTTAATTATAAGAGTGGGAATAAGAGAGGGAAGAGATGTACAATTTGGGACATGCTCAAGCTGACTTGCCCCAAACGGTAAAGTTAGAAACATACCAGGGGATTCCAATTCAATCCCATCAAGGTGGCATGTACCAATGCCATCTCACTAGTCTAAGTGATCAATTTCTGTTCACAATTGATCATAACGATTGGACTAAGAGTCAAAGGGATCACATAAACAAGACTAGTGTCTGAAAATACTAACCGATATAACAAAAAATGGAGAGAACAATCCAACATGGGAAGCGGGATACACAGCAGACTCATAGAATGACGGATGCCCTAAACAGCACTCTGGCCTCAGAATCAGCCCTTAAGGCATTCGGATCTGGCTGAAAAGCCCATGAGAGTATTTTAGGCATGGAAAGCCAAGACACTCTGTCAAAAAAAAAAAAAAAACCTAAATGAAAGATCTCTGTGAGTGAGATCCCAGTGGAAAGAATAGGTCATTAAAGAAGGAGGTTCCTTTCTCTGAAGGGAGGAGAGAACTTCCATTTTGACTATGACCTTGTCTAAATATGATCAGAGTTGGTGAACTCAAAAGGCTTCCATAGCCTTAGCCTTGGCAACTCATGACTGGAGCTAGGGAGATTACTGATTCCATAAACAAGAGTGTCAATTTGTTAAGTCAACAACAGGAGTCGCTGTGCACTTACTCCTTATGTAGGATCTCTGAACTTAATGTGCTGTACATTGTAATTTAATGCTATAACTAGTACTCAAACAGTATTTTTAACTTTGTGTTTCTATGTGGGTGCAAACTGTTGAAATCTTTACTTAATATATACTAAACTGATCTTCTGTATATAAAGAAAATTGAAAATGAATCTTGATGTGAATGGAAGGGGAGAGGGAGCGGGAAAGGGGAGGTTTGCAGGTGGGAGGGAAGTTATGTGGGGGAAGCCATTGTAATCCATAAGTTGTACTTTGGAAATTTATATTCATTAAATAAATGGTAAAAAAAAAGTAAATAAATATTGTTGCAAAAATAAAAAAAGAAACACTCAGAAAAGAGGCAACTGACAGAATAGGCGAAAATATTTATAAACTACGCAACTGATAAAGATTAATATCCAGAATATATACAAAGCTCAATAAACTCAACAACAACAAAACAAACAACCCAGTTATGAAAAGGGCAAAGGACTTAAACAGACATTTTCAAAAGAGGAAATCCAAATGGCCTGCAGACACATGAAAAAATCCTCAGGATCCCTAGCCTAAAGGGAAATGCAAATCAAAACTACAATGAGCTTTCACCTCAACCCAATTAGAATGGCTTTCATACAGAAATCAACAAACAACAAATGGTGGTGAGGATGTGGGGAAAAAGTACCCTAATCCACTGCTGGTGGAAATGTAAACTGGTAAAACCAGTGTGGCAGAGGGTATGGAGATACCTCAGAAATCTGAATATAGACCTACCATATGACCCAATCTTCCCACTCCAGGGAGTTCACCCAAGGGAAATGAAATCAAAATATGAAAGAGTTATCTGTACTCCCATGTTTATTACAGCCCAATTCACAATAGCTAAGATATGGAATCAACCCAGGTGTCCTTTAAGTGAAGACTGGATAAAGAACTTAATGAAATCCTGTCATTTGCAGCAAAATAGATGAAACTGGAAAACATCATACTTAGTGAAATAAGCCAGTTCAAAAGGACAAATACCATATGTTCTACCTGAAGCGTGGTAACTAATAGTTCACCTGAAATGTAATCTATAGAAGTGAAATTGACACTTTGAGATGTGATGATTTTTAACAGCCCTTGTCTCAACTGTGGAACAGTTTTTTTCATACTATTTGTTGAAATCTTTACTTAATAAAGAGTTAATCTTATGTGTGTAAAGTTAATTGTAAATAGATCTTACTGGAAAATAAGAATGAGACTAGGAGAGGGATGAGGGAGAAGTATGGGAGTGTGGGTGGGAGGACAGGTAGGGGGGAAGATCACTATGTTCCTGAAGTTGTATTTATGAAATATGTGAAGTTTTATACCTTAAATAAAAGGTTTCTGGGGACAAAAAAAGAATTCACATTTTTCTATTGGAAGTATTATTCCAGTACTTCTGGACTTGTGTGTCACTCAGTTGAAATGTGAGACCTATCTTAGTTTAAGCAACTAGTAGGTTTTATTTATAAATTTCTAAAGTGTGTTTCTTGATTGTAACCTAGTCACCATGGCAGGGTACAGGAAATAAAGATTTGATTGAAGAAGAAATTGTTTACTTGGATAGAAATGGACACATGTGTACCTTTTGACAGCCTTATTGTAACTATTGACAGTTGAGAACACCTTAGAAAAAATTGCTCCAGATTTTCTTCATGGGCAGTTTCTCCAGAGAACTGAGGCTGCAAACAGTCATCCCACTTTTGTATTTCAACTGAGTCATATATCTTATTTTTACCAAATTTAAATTCAGTATATTCAACTCATTATTAAATCCAAGACTGAGTGGAGCTTTCTGTTCCTAGCCATCCGCTACTGTGACAGATGCCAACTTATAAAACCAGATCGCTGCCATCACTGTTCTGTCTGCGATAAGTAAGGACACCTTTTTACTTCTAAAATGCCTGTGTGATAGTGGGCTTTCCCTTGTTAAGTTTCTTTCTCTCTGTTTTCCAGATGATCTTCTTTTCTATTTAAATGTGCTTCTCTAGGCTTTCTTTGGGAATATAATTGATACAACCACTTTAATTAATTAATAGCAGTGTGGCTTAGGGCCACAATCCATTGTCCCTTTCTCCCCAGATTCACTATTTATTTATTTATTTATCTATTTATTTATTTATTTTGACAGGCAGAGTAGACAGTGAGAGAGAGAGAGAGACAGAGAGAAAGGTCTTCCTTTTGCCGTTGGTTCACCTTCCAATGGCCACCGCGGCCGGCGCACTGCAACTGGTGCATCGCACTGATCCGAAGCCAGGAGCCAGTTGCTTCTACTGGTCTCCCATGGGGCGCAGGGCCCAAGGACTTGGGCCATCCTCCACTGCACTCCCAGGCCATAGCAGAGGGCTGGCCTGGAAGAGGGGCAACCGGGACGGAATCCGGCACCCCGAGCAGGACTAGAACCTGGTTTGCCGGTGCCGCAGGCGGAGGATTAGCCTGTTGAGCTGTGGCGCTGGCCCAGATTCACTCTTATGTACATGGTTTTTAGCAGTTCTGACTTCAGCTAGTTCAATTGAGCAAATACTCCACTTCTTTTATGAGAGTTTTTATCTTTATAAAGATAACTTAGTTGAGCTCATGACACATGTTGTTTTGTCTTTAATATACTGCAAGGAAGCTACTACTTTCCTTAAGGATTGATACTAATGGAAAAGCCTTCTTCAGGCTTTCTGTACATCCATTAACATTTTGCATTTTCTTTAACATAAGTGAGTTACATAGTAATAATTATATAAATTTGTTTTTAATAAAATGAGTTGATTTGCATCTTAAAACATGTATATTTTGAATTTCAAGTTCTATTGTTATAACTAGAATTGCGTGTAGTGCTTATTTTTTTAAGGATTTGTTTTTATTTATTTGAAATGCAGAATTAGAGAGAGAGAGACAAAGAGATTCCATCCACAGGTTCTTTCCTCAAATGGTTGCAGTAGCTGGGGCTGGGCCAGGCCAAGGCCAGGATCTAGGAACTCCATCCTAGAGTTTGCCACATGGGTGGCACAAGGGTGACAGGGACCCAGGTACTTGGGCCGTCTTCTGCTGGTTTCCCAGGCTCATTAGCTGGGAGCTGGGTCTGAAGTGGAGCAATGAATCAACCAGGACTTCAGCCAGCACCAGTTTGGGATGTTGGTGTTGCAAGTTGGGGCTTAACCTGCTGCACTACAACACTGACCCTCTAGTGTTTATTTTAGGTAAGAACTTTGCTGTTCAGCTTTCGGTTAGGTAACTAACTTTGTGATACTTTGTTTGCCCTAGGCCTTTGAAATAAGCATGCTTTATGTATTCTCTTTATAATTTAATATGATTAAAATTTTGAGGATGTTCAGTTTTGTGTTGTTTTGGTTTTAGATGTATTTTGAAGATGGATCATCATTGCCCATGGTGAGTATAGCTGTATAGTTAAACAGGTCACTTATGTGTTGAAATCTTTTTGTAAATGCAGTATTACATTAGCAAACTTATGAGATACTTCCAAGCTTACCTTCTACTATTTCTTTCATTAGCTCAAAGAGCTTTTATTCAGTAGAATTCCCATGAAGTAATTTTAAAATTAGTAGGTTAACAGTATGAAAGTGAATTTTGCAGGTTTGCTCAAGAACAAAGGGTTTTCTATATATGCACTTGGAAAAACTCTAAAAGACCTTCCAGAAATACACATATGCATGTAATATATAAATTTTATACAGTACCTCACTGGAAATTTCTAAGGAAGAGTTAAATCATCTGCAGTTTTAATAATTTATTTTAACTATAATTTATTTTAACTAAAACGTAACATTTAAAAGGGTGATGGAAAGTTTACAGCATTTTAGATCTTTCACCAGTACACCTCTTCCTTTTCTTCTCCTAAAGTGTCACTACTATAAGAATGTGGGTCTTTCTTTTTAAAAAAGAAATACATAGGTGATTTTCCTTATTTATTTTTACTTATTTTGAAAGAATTACATAGACAGAAGGAGAGATAGAGAAAGAGTTCTTCCATCCATGGTTCACTCCCCAGATGGCCTCAAGGGCCAGGGCTGGGCCAGGCCAAGGCCAGGAAACTGGAGCTTTATCTGGGTCCCCCATGTGGGTGCAGGGGCCCAAATGCTTGGGCCATATTCTGCTGTTTTTCACAGGCCATTACTAGAGAGCTGGATCAGAAGTGGAGCAGCTGGTGCATGTCTGCTTTACCTGCTATGCCACAATGCCAGCTCCAAGAATGTGGTTCTTAAAAAAAGATCTCTGTAATAGCATCCCTTTGTGTACTAGTTGACATTTGCCTTCATCCTTTGGCTCATTCTTTGTTTTCCACCAGCAACTGTTCCTCCCCAGTGTCTGTCAAGTTTTGACAGATCGTACCAAAGAAGTGAAAGGAAGGACGTTTAAGACTTTCTAGAGTTTTTGAACTAAGCTCATTTTGCATCCCTTCATCTGATTTATTGCTGCTCTTGCCCCTGAGCGGCAATGTAAATGATGCTTCTCTGGCCTGCCGCCCTCTGAGCCCTGAACATCCCCTCACAGAAAGCAGGAGCCACACCTCTTTGTGAAGGATTTACATTTCCATGATAAAATATTCACCTGGGGCTAGCTGAATGGAGTGACCATTTTTTGAAGGACTAACATTTATTTGAAAGGCATAGTGAGGAGAGAGAGAGAGAGAGAGAGAGAGAGAGAGAGAGAGAGAGATTGATTCATTCCATCTACTGCTGCAGGCCTGCAGAGCTCACACTAGTCAGAGTGGGGTGAGACCAAAAGCAAGGGCTGAGAAATCAGTCCAGGTCTCCTGTATGGGTGGCAGGAGGCCATCATCTGCTGCCTCCCAAGCACATTGCTGTAGCACAAAGGTGGATTGGAAGCAGAGGAACCAGGATTCAAACCAGCATTCCAATATTTGATGCAGGCATCCCAAATGTGGACTTAATCAGCATTAGCACAATGCCTTCCCTGGCCATTTTATTTTATTTTTAAATTTCAATTAAAATTTTAAGTTACAGAATTTATAGGAATACATAGCTCATCATCCTAAACTCAAAGACTAAGAGATAAACATGCTCTCTCACTGCCCAGCCTGCTTCCCCCTCTCCCAGGGCATCAGTGTTTTGTTAATATGGCACTTTTTAGAATACATGTGTGTGCCTTCCCTCTTGGTGTTTTGTTTTAACACAAATGACTATACTGTTGACTCAAACTGTCCCTCTGGGGTTTTTTTCCCCACTTAATATATTCTGGAAAAGGTTCTGTATCAGTGATTTCAATGTCTCTGCTGTGGCCCGAGAATATTCCTTGAGAACATCCAGGCAATCAATCTCATACTTGTATTTTAACTAAAATATAGTTTTTGCTTTATTGAGTTTTCTATCAGAGAAGTGTTTTTTTTCTTTTAGTGTAAGTTTTTCATTTATCAACTAGTTACAGTTACAGTATTTTCACATGCTTGCCAAAAAGTTAGGTAACACAAATGAAAATAAATAATTTTAGCTTTAGTTAATTGAGTACCCTTTATATTCCAAGGACCAGACAGATAATCTATAACTAACCCCAGTGACTGGAAAATGTAGAAATGAGTTGTCTCATTTTATTTTTTAGGGAAAATATATTTATTTATTTGAAAAGCTGAATGACAGAGACAGGGAGGGAGACAGATATGGAACACTCCTCAAACAACATCCAGGACTGAGGCAAGCCAAAGTCAGGAGCCGGGAGCTCCATTCTGGTCTCCTACATGGGTGGCAGGGACCCAAGTATTTGGGCCATCTTCCTCTGCCTTCCCAAGGTGCATTAGCAGGGAGCTGGATTAGAAGCAGAATAGCCTGGACTGGAACTGAAATGTGGGTTTCACAAAAAGAAACTTAATTTGCCCTGAGCTGTCCCATTTTAAAGGAAGGGGGTCAGGGGTTGGATGAGACTCAGACGAAGTTCATGAGTGGACTCAAAGTCACTTACCATGTTTTTTGGACTTGAAAGACCACATTCTTTCCAGTATATTCAATAAGTTCTTTTTCCACTTTAGACTCAGACAGTAATTACCCTGAAGTGGAGTCCAAGGCTAGCTGTGTGTCAACATTGAACTTCAGAAAATCAGAGGAATGTTAATCTAGACATGCTTGGCTTCTCCATATGGAATTTTCTTGTCTAGATGGAGGATGTGCAGACTTAGAATAAGTCCTTTCCTTTTCACATTGAGTCTACAAAGAAAGCAGTAGGCAGGTAAAACGTCTAACTGAGGGTGTTTTGTTAGGGAAACAGTAAGCTATTATGCAAAATGAATACTGTCACTTCGCTTCTCTAGTAACATACATATCAAAACTCAATGCATATCAAACTCTAAAATACTTGGTCTTTTAATCTGACTTTTTTATTGTGTTTCCTGGCTTAGATATGTCAAATGACTATACTCTAAAGTAAATTTTAAAGTAAGTTAAATTAGATGTTTTAATCTATGATGGAAGTCCTTTTCTATCCATTAAAATGCTGTTTAATATTTAACACAAAAGCTGCTTCATGTAGAAAGAGAAAGTTTTTCTTATCCCTTCCAATTTCCTCCAGTCCACAAGAATCCTTGTTTACAAAGTCTTAGAGACCCCTCACCTTTGTCTGACTCTTCTTTCCTGTTGAAATCAAGCAATATACAAAGGAAATAGTCGGCATCTTTTTGAGACAGAGTACAAATAAAATCGCTTGTACAGAACTATTTCCACTGTCATTTCTTGCCATTATTTCACTCAGATGCACAAAAAAAAGGCAGTATAAGCGATTGGTTCACCTCCCCGCCAGAACCTCTTACACTACAAACTCAACTGTTTTTTTTGGCTTTTTTATAGTTTACTTCTCACATACACGACCCTGAAATTCAAAATTTACTATAACTAATGCTGTTCCCTTTACCATATATATAGATATACATATACACATATATATTTATATTTATGTAGATTGTGAACAGTTTCACTTTAAAAAAATCTAGAGACATGTTCTTTTTATCAAAGTCAATAGAATTGTTTTACCAACATTTGAATGAGAACAAAGACATTTGAGTAAAGGAAACAATATGATGCATACTTTGTGTGTAATAGGTTCATTAAACCAGTTAACAAAGACTTAAATCCAGCCAAGGTATTGGCAGATTCCTGTGGATGTTGTATCACATTTTTACAAGGTCATACAGTAATGCCTTGTCTTTATGAAAAAGAAAAAACCTGAAAGAAAGAAGTATGTCTATAAAATTATTTATATTCATATTTATATTTCTTGACAAGATAGTTTGAAATCTCCATCTCCCAATTTAATGACTTTCAGAATAAGAAGGGAACATTTTTAAATTTCCATATTTGGAATCATAGAACGTAGAGCTTTCAGATATTATCTCAGTTTTATTTTACAGATTAAGAAAGTGAAATGCTGATAGACAATTTAACTTCCTAAGGGCTATGTAACTTAGTGTTAAATGGGCATTATGACTCAGGCTGTCTGGCTCTTGGTCCTATTTCTTTTCTTAAACTTCCCATCTACATGCTTTTGCAAGCTGGTTGCTTCAATGATGGCCTGTACTGGGTTAGTGAAGCTATTTCATCTAATTTGAAAAACTTGAAAGATTTTAATCTAGTTAATTATAGTTGGAAATCAAACCAAAAGGTAACATAGAGGAAGAACTAGTGCATCCCCCTAATCCTCTTGGTCTCTAACAAGCTTAAAGCCTTTGGACAAATGCTTATTTTTATAACTGGATATGAAATCTGGTTACATTTATCATAACTGATTGAAGCAATATTAAATATATTTTTTAAAGTCTAAACACAGAAATTGTTTTTAGGGAATTTTTCCTTTTAAAATTTATTAATATATAGAGAGGATGGATTTCATGAATTCCATAGCCATAATTCCAAAAATGCAATGAAATTTCCCTCCCTCCTTCCCACCAGGTTTTTGATATTTTAATATTTATATCTATTAAGAAATGTTGTGAATTATAATTAAATAAAATACCAGTAACTTTACAGTGAGAGGAAGCTAAATACTGTGTTAAGTCGGGCATGTTGGTTCGTAGACTGGAGATATAAAACTCACTGAGAATGTCTTTGCTTTATTGACAGGGTGAACAATTGTGTTGGATTTTCAAATTATAAATTCTTCCTCCTTTTCTTGGCTTATTCTCTGCTGTACTGCCTTTTTATCGCTGCTACAGACTTACAGTATTTTGTCAAATTTTGGACAGTAAGTCATTACCTTGGTGACGTTTTCCAGTATGAAAATGTGTACCATATAGATTTTCAGTAGACAATTATTGCAGACACTGATTTTGTAGAATTAATTTTTACAAGTCAATCCTCAGTATTCGCAGAGTCTGTGTCTCTTAATTCAACTACTCAATAAAGTGATGTACAACAACCAAAGCAATACTGGCAGAGCTTTTCTGGTCATTTGCAGAGAAGTGCAGAGTAGCGAAAAGTCTACATCGCCTCTTGACATACATTTCCAGTTAATGTCCAAGAAGACAATGCTCTGCCTTCTTGTTTCAGCTCTCAGACTGTAAACAAGTGTGCTTTTCACATTCTAATTAGTGCCATGTGTTTGCAATCTTTGTGCTTTTTTGTGGTGCTGAAGTGCTGTCTAGTGTTTCTAAACACAAGACTGATGTCTTATGGAGGAGCTCTGTGTGTCACAGTTAGCTTCATCCAGGCATGAGACATGTGCTTTTGGCAAAGAGTTCTGCATTAAGGAATCAATAGTACATATTAACTGAAGTATCTTTAATCAGAAACACACATGAACCAAGATTTATCGATTGATCAGTTGACAAAGCTGTGACTAGAGGCTTGTCGGAACCTAACCATGTGTTTTCCCTACAGCTGTGGTTCAGTATTCACAAATTCAGTGTTTCTGGCAACTTTATCAAACATACACTGCGAATAACGAGAACTGACTAGATAAGTTTTTTGAGTACTTAGAAATAGAAGTATTTTCTTTAGGCTATTATATCTCTAAGTCTTGAATTTTTATTAGGTTTCACTTTTTAAGGCTTTAGGTGATGTTTGTTGCTATACTATAACAAGTGTAGGCAAAAATTTAAAGTGGTGTATTTTCAATATCCTTAGATAACTCCTTGTGAATACTCCAAGTTTTAGTAAAAAGCAGTTTATCCCCTGCCAGGATTGCCTTATTATTTTCAATAAATTATCCTTTATTATGATAACATTTTCTGAATTGCTAGATCATTTATGTTAAATCTGAATAAAATTTGATACGAACAGATTGATGAATGCTTACTATATGCAGATGCATTGCTAAGCATAAAGAATCACAGGTGAATGGAATTGATCCCAGCATCCAAGGATACTTGCAAGTGTCTCGCTTGCTGGATAATCCCCAGTGAGTGTCTAGGACAACATTCAGCTCTCTGCTCCTCACTCCTGTGGATGGTTATCATTCCAAACCACACACATATTTGGAAAGGAATCACCGGGGTTTTCACTGTGTGGATCCTGCTGTCGAGAGCTGTCGGTGAGACCCCGTGACCTGTGTCACTCTGACCAATACTACAAGGCATTAAAACACTGTGACCCTCTGTCAGAAGGGCCACCTCCTGGTAGCTCTGTAACTTCACTAAGTGTCCATGGCCAAGCCCTCCAGTATGGTGAGTCTAGGTCTCCTTGAATGTATAAAAGTGAACGTCAAGATGACTTTGCTTTGAGGTGGCCTGTTCAGCCTATGGTTATAATAAGATTTATTTTAGACAGATGTTACGCATTAGAGCTTTTCTTTGCCACTATTATTTAAAATAGCTTAAAGCATTATTGTGAATGTGTTCTATGTATTCTTTTAATGTTATTGTTCATAGTAACATAAAACATTAAGGAAAAGAGTATCTACAAGTGCCAGCTAACGTATTTTCTGTCACTGTAATAAAGCTATTTAAACATTTGTACATTTCTAGCGTGTTAACAAAACATGTTCAAGTAATAAATTTAAAACTATGTTTCATAGATCTTTGCTTCTTAATGTTATAGGTTACAAATATACTTCCATAATTTTCCCATTTTTTGGTTATATAGAATAAGACCAGTATCCCACATTTAATACTTTTTCAAATATATTCATATTCCAGTAAACATTTATTTTAATCTGATAATATATATTTGTGTTTTCCTAACATTTTAATAGAAAGGCATGTATCTTTCTCCATATCTAAATTTAAGAGAAATATTAGGCAAAAATAGATTACTAATTTTCTTATAAAAGTAGGGGACTACTTATCCCTTTGACAACATACTTTTTCTTCCTTTTTTATAGAATGGTCTACCAGATACTCAAGCCAAGTTCCATATTATGTTTCTATTCTTTGCTGCAGCTATGTTTTCTGTCAGCTTATCTTCTCTGTTTGGCTATCATTGTTGGCTAGTCAGCAAAAATAAATCTACATTAGGTGAGTATCCAGTTGTATAGTCATATATATATATATATATCCACTGAAAGTTGTCATGAATAAATGCCAACTTGTTCTGAAAAGATAAAAATCATTTTTATTTCCCACATTTGTTTGTGGGATGTCACTTAAATACATCCAAGTTGACTCATTCCATGTGTTTACTGCTTGTCACTTGTGTTTATATATTATGGTGAGCAAGGGAAAAACAGTACAGTGAGTGGCACAAAAATTAATAGCTAATCATTAAAGTAATTGCAAAATGCAAAGAGCTTTGAAAGAAACAAAGAGGTTACTGAGGTCTGAGAAAAGGACTGGTGATGATGCAGGAGAACCTGTGTAGAACGCTTGGTCAGGGAAGAGGTCACCGCAGCAAAGAAGTACTTGTCCTATGAAGTCAGCGGGGGAAAGAGCTCGAAAATCTTAGAGGAAACAGCATGTTCATACATCCCTCAGTGCTTAGAGTGAAATATATATAGCTGTAAAAGCCTATTTTTAAAAGAAGTCAACCAATTACTTTACATTGTAAGGAACTAGAAAAAGAGGAGCAAAGTAAGCACAAAAACAACAAAAGGAATGTAATAATAAAGATAGCAGATAAAGGAAACAGAAATAAAAAATACAGAGAAATCAATGAAATCAGTACTTGATTCTTAAAAACATCAACAAATTTGAGAAGCCTTGGCTGGGAAGGAAAAAGAAGAAAACACTCATCACAAAAATCATAAATGAAAGTGAAGATAAGGACTAGCATTGTAGCATGACAAGTAAAAGCCTCCTCCTGCAATGCCAACATCCCATATGGGTGCCAATTCAGATCCTGGTTGCTCTACTTCTGATCCAGCTCCCTGCTAATAGCCTGGGGAAAGCAGCAGAAGATGGCTCAAAGTGCTTGTGTCCTGGAAGAAGCTCCTGATTCCTGGGTTCAGCTTGGCCCAGTCCAACCATTGCAGCCATCTGGGGAGTAAAACAGTGGATGAAAGATACCTGTGTGTCTCTCCCTGATTTCTCTCTAACTCCAACTTCCAAATAAATAAATAAGTGGAGACATTGCTATTGACTTCACATAAATAAAAATGATTATAAGAGAATACCACGAAATACTCTACATCCAACATTAGGTAACCTAGATGAAATACACAAATTACTAGGAACACACAAATTACCAAACTGAGAAAAGAAGAAATAGGGGGCTGGTGCTGTGGTATAGCAGGTAAAACCGCTGCCTGCAGTGCCAACATTCCATATGGTTCTAGTCCTAGCTGCTCCTCTTCTGATCCAGCTCTCTGCTATGGTCTGGGAAAGCAGTAGAAGATGACTCAAGTCCTTGGGCCCCTGCACCTGCATGGGAGACCTGGAAGAAGCTCCTGGCTCTTGGCTTCGGATCGGCTCTGCTCTGGCCATTGTGGCCAATTGGAGAGTGAACCAGCGGATGGAATTCTCTCTCCCTCTTTCCCTCTCCCTCCCTCTCTTTCCCCCTCTTTCTCCCTCTCCCTCTCTCCCTCTCCTTCTCTCTCTATGTAACTCTTTCAAATAAATAAATGAATCTTTTAAAAAAATCTACAGCATCATAATTTATGATGAAAACTGAAAGCGTTCTCCCTAAGAAGAGGAGCAAAACAAAGATGTCCCTCTTTATTACCGCTATTCAACAGGACATTTGAAGTTCTAATCACAGCAATTAGTCCAAAAAAGAAATGACAACTATATGTCAGGGCAGTTGATAGCGCAGTACTCCCAAAAGGTTTGCTGTTGATTTTGGTTCATTTAACTCCATTATTTCTAAATATCAGGGATCTTAGTGGATATATTCTTGTGCAATTACTGTATCATCTCTTTTAGAGGCATTCAGGAGTCCAGTATTTCGACATGGAACCGATAAGAATGGATTCAGTTTGGGTTTCAGTAAAAACATGCGACAAGTTTTTGGTGATGAGAAGAAGTACTGGTTGCTACCCATTTTTTCAAGGTACTTTATTGTTAAATTTTTCAGGTTTTAAACTACTGAGAGTAGTCCAGTGAAATAGAATTTCAAGAAAATTCCATTGCTCTGTAATTCTGCATAGAAACTGCGATTTTGAAAGTCTGGCTTTGTGATTTATTATTATATCAGTAAGAAATCAGTTAGCTCATCATGTCCCTAAATGTTAACACTGTGTTGAGGGCCATATTGCCTGTAATACAACATTTTATGCTCTTTGACACCAGCATTTTGACAGTTTAACTGTACTGTCTCTGTTATGATTTACCTGTAAGCTTTTATGTTACAGTCTGGGTGATGGCTGCTCCTTCCCAACTTGCCTTGTTAACCAGGATCCTGAACAACCATCCACTCCTGCAGGACTGAATTCAACAACTAAAAAGTAATACCACGTTGACTTTTTTTCATTTACTTTCACATGATATTTTATCTTCCTGCATCATTTTATTATATGCTCCTTTGTAGAAATAAAAACCTAAAAGCATAATGTAATTTATTATAGTGTCTTGCACCTGGAGGAGGGAGGAACCAGGGTGCTATTGGGGTGAGCTATAGATTTGGAATTTCAGTTATATTTGTAAAATTCTTTCATAATCAAGAGGTGGGTACATAAGTGTTAATTGTCTAGATATTTTGGTTAACTGGAACATATTATGATTTATTTATTTTACTGTAGGAATGAAAATTTTAAAAAAAATCTATGTCAAAATTAGTTTTCTGCTCAATGGACAGGATACAATTCCCCTCTGACTCTCCGTAACTTTTCTCTGAGTGGTAATTGTTAGAGAGAGCAGAGAAACTTTGCTGGACCAGGCTTTTGGAGATCAAATGGAACCCCAGAACCTGCTGCAGCACTGTATTAGCAATGTGCACCTTATCTTTCATCCTCTTTGGAGACTGCCATGCATTATCTGTGGATGGAGAGGGAAGAGGTCTTGGAAATTCATTTCTTGGAGACTTTTGCTTCTGCTTTAAGCCTATCACAAAATTGAGGAAAGCAACAGAAAAACCTGAAATTGGATCCTAAATTTGCTACTGACAAAAGGCAAAGTTATTCTCAAACTTTTCTTCCTTTTTCCCTATCCATATATCAGTGACTATTTTATTTAATATGTCTTTAAATTGGCATGTAAGCTTATTTTAAAATCAAACTTTATGTCATTGTAAAAAATGAGAAACTAGTATAATTTTCTGTAAAAAGAATATTACTTTAAAAATAAAATTGGCAATGAAATACTGTTGGAAAGTTCTAACTATATTCCTTTATCCTGCTAAAGGAATGGGATTGAGAGCTTTTCTCTATATAAAGTGTAGATTTGACAGAGGTAGAGATCATCATCTTATTGTAATTAAAAGAATGAAAAGACCATGAAGAGAGAACTCTTCTCTCATTGTTGAGTCAATGTTTTCAGTGCATTATTCTTGTGTTCCCCATATTGTCTTGGATACCTCTACCAGTCATCTCGCATCACAAGTGGTTTGAGTTCCATACTTTGAATTCCACTCAACAATAATATCAAGAGTGATCTTAACCTCTTGCAACCTCATTTTGGTGTAAAGTACATTTTGAGAGCAGGAGTGCCTAAGCCATAGGGCTCCCTCTTGTAAAACTATGCATCAGATGCATCTAATGTTCAACTGCTCTTTAAATGGGAATTGCTGGATAAATTTGTATTAATTCTTTCAGATGGGTTGAATACCATCTAATTAAATTTAGTATTCATGGTCAGGGTTAAAAAAATTAACTTAATATGATTGTTATTACCCAGTCCTGAAAACCATCAGTTTCCTGCAAAGCCACTGAGAGAATCCCAAAGCCACCTTCTTACTGACTCTCAGTCTTGGACAGAAAGCAACATAAACCCTGGAAGAGGCAAAGCTGGTAAGGGTGTGTTTGGCTATTTTGTGATTTATTTTCTTTTTTTTTTTAACTTTTATTTAGTAAATATAAATTTCCAAAGTACAGTTTATGGATTACAATGGCTTCCCCCCTCCCATAGCTTCCCTCCCACCCGCAACCCTCCCATCTCCCGATCCCTCTCCCATTCCATTCACATCAAGATTCATTTTCAAAGTGATGAAAAATTCCATTTTATTACCTACAGAACTTTTGTTACTGTGGAGTCAGACTCCCACTATAAATTTAGAAATATTTTCAAAGAACTTATATTTTTGAGGTACTTAGATCAATAGCTATTAGAAGCACAAAATCACTTTGTGAAGATGGATCTACATTGCTTTTTTTTCTAGCTTAAAGAACCAAATCTGTATCAGTGCACACTAAAAATATGGTAGAAATTTAAAATCTAAAGTATTAAAAATGAAAACTGCAATCAGTTCAGACAGAAAGTCGAAAAATGCCTTCTGAAAAGAATCTTAAATTATGCAGTTCTTTTACTGTTCAATTGTTACTGTTCAATTTCACAGTGTCAGTAAAGTGATTTCATAATTACCATAACTTCAGCTACCCCTGACTTCTTCATATCTCAATCATACTTCTCTTGTTATAATGTTGATTTTAATATTTATTTATTTATTTAGTCAATGTAGATTAATAGCACAGAACAAGCAAGGCTTTGAAGTTAGACCTGATTTCAAATCCCAATTTGGGCACCCACTAGTGTGTTATATTTGTTAAATTATCTAACCCCTTTCAGACTTAGCTTATACATATTTAAAATGCTATTTCTCAGGATTGCAAGGACTAAGCAAAATAATTTAATGATACAAGTGGTGTGTCTTTGTACATGTGATGTCCCTGTAAATGAGGACAAAACCATACTTCTATGACTGACACACTGTTAGCCAGAAAATAGCCAGATTGACTAATTTAATTCATTGCATCTTTTCTTTTTAACTTCTAGTCTTTAAAGTCTTGTACTGCCTGACTTTGGTTCATTGCACATGAAAATGTTTATTGACTTATTTGAAATTTAGTGATTGTGAAATACAATTTAGTGTTCCTGAGTAAAAATGATCAGTTATATTCTCCTAAAATAAAAGCTTTCTTTAAAAAGTCATACTTTTAAGAAATATTTGACTGTCAAAGGTCCCCATGACTTGAGAGGAGTATATGTAATTTGGTCTCTCTCTTCATCTTAAAATGTGCCATTTCAGTTTCAAGCCTATATAAAGAACTAGGCATTGCCTAAACAAAAATGGATGACACCTATTTACACTTTGAATCCTTAAAGACAAAAATATGTATGTGTTTGAGAATTAATTGCTAGTGCGTGGGAAAACAACTCCCTCCCTGGCAGAAGGGATTTATACTTCCTTTAAAGTTTTCATTAACCCAGGTTTCTTGATTTTTTATATGCTGTTAATTATTTGTCATGTTATTTTTTCTGTTACTTTATTGAATGAATTGAGAAACTAAAGTTGAAAGGATGATGTTAAGAAGCAAGAAAAACATGAGAAAGGGGAGAGATGAGATGAGAAATAGCTCAAATGTTGGTTTAACAAGAATGAGGCAGATAAATGCAGAATTAGGAAACATTGATTTAAGGTGATGTGAGCAGTGCCATGTTCAATGTGTCTTTCATTGTTTTGCTTCCTGGGTTTATCAAGTATATTTCCCTAACTATTTTTAATAATTTGTGTGGCTTTTTGTAACGTGTGTGATGCTGGTTGTAGCTGACACTGCGTGGTCTGTTGTGTGTTTCTGTATAAGCATTACATAAACACCCATGTACAGGGTGCCTCTGGAAGTATACAGGGGGGATTCATAGATGAATAATCAAGTTTCTGTATTTGTTCAAAAGAAACCCCAAAATGCTAATTTATATTCTTTCTTTAAGGTATGAGCAATCCTGCATTAACCATGGAGAATGAGACTTAATCCTCAAGCAAAATAAATTCATGCTTTATTAAAGTAAGTTTCCTTTTCTTTTCAGGTTTTATATATTTTAACAGTATTTCAGTTTTCTTAGAGCAAATAGTCTCCATGAACATTATTATTTATTTTTTAATAACTCTTTTTAGGTGTCTTTCCTGATCTGTGGGATCATACTACTTATTCTTGGGGCTCTGGACATAGATGTAGCTTTAATATTAACTTGTATCCAGATGAACACCATAAATTATAACATTAAGTTGATGATAAAAATCATTTTTATAGTAATGCATTAAAAGGCAGGGATTGGTCCTAGAATATTGAATTTTACATGAAAATTATCTTGCATTTAGTGGATTATTTTTTTTCAACTTTCACTATGTTTAATGGTGATATCTTCAACTCTACATTAGTAGTATTTCACTGGGTCCAAGTACAAAAAAATTCTGTTGTGTCAGCACAAACCACACTCATCCCCAATTTTGTTTTAAAGGTTTATCTATTTGAAAGTTACTGAATCAAAGAGGGATAGGGAGGGAAAGAGATCTTTCATCTGCTGGTTTACTCCCAAAATGACCGCAAGAGCTGGGGCTGGGCCAATGCTGAAGCCAGGAACCTGGAACACCCTCCTAGTTTCCCACATGCATGGCAGGGCCCTAAACACTTGGGCCATCATCTGCTACCTTCGCACGTGTGTTAGCAGGGAGTTGGATCAGAAGCAGAGGGGCCAGGACTCAGACCTGTATTCTCATAATCAGATGCCAGTGTCACAGGCAGTGCCTTAACCTGCTGCACCACTGCACCAGCTCACATCCCCAGTTTTGGTCACAGTAGGACCTCACAGCATGTGTTAACCTTAAAATAATGGGTGTTTTAAGTAATTTTTTCAACCTGTAGTCCCAAATCAATTTCTTTAAAACATAATTTATGGGGCTGGCACTGTGGAATAGCAGGTAAAGCCGCCACTTGCAGTGCTGGCATCCCATATGGGCACCAGTTCAAATCCCGGCTACAGCACTTCCGATCCAGCTCTCTGCTATGGCCTGGGAAAGCAATAGAAGATGGTCCAAGTCCTTGGGTCCCTGCACCCGCATGGGAGACCTGGAAGTCTCCTGGATCCTGGCTTAGGATCGGTGCAGCTCCAGCCATTGTGGCCAATTTGGGAGTGAAGCAGCGGATAAAAGACTCTCTCTCTCTGCCTCTCCTTCTCTCTGTGTAACTCTGACTTTCAAATAAATAAATCTTTTAAAAAAACATAATTTATTATAGATCTACAGTCAATAAAAGGGTACAAAAAGGAGTCCCAATTGGAACAAAGCCATAAATATCTAAACAAACAACTCTGTGTTACAATAAACATAATGTAAAGAGTTAAACATCAGGGCCAGTGCTGTCAGTATGGCTTTGTTAAGCTTCCACCTGTGATGCTGGCATCCCACATGTCAGTGCATGTTTGAATCCTGGCTGCTCTGCTTTTGATCCAGCTCTCTGCTAATGCACCTGGGAAAGCAGTGGAAGATGCCACCCATGGGGAAACCCAGTTAAAGATCTTGGCTTCTGACTTTGGCCTAGCCTAGCCCTTGCTGTCGCTGCCATTTGGGGGAGTGAATCAGAGGATGGAAGATCTTTCTCTGTCTCTCTCTGTCTCTGTGTAACTCTGCATTTCAAATAAATAAGTCAGTTTTTTTAGAGTTGAACATTAAGGCTATCAAAATAACTACAAAATTGTAATCCAGCATTCCAAATTCTAAGAGAAGTAAGAGATTAGCATCTAAAACAAAATAATGTGTGTCAAATTGTTCTTGGCTATGTGGATTTTTATGATTGCTTTGTTTCGCTTTTGATGAATAGCCATCTGATACCAGCAAAATGTTATTTGCCAGTTGACTACTGTTTTGCTTTTGGGAAGACCATGATCAGCTCTGAATACATACTGGTTCAGATCATAACCATGGTTAGGAAAATGAAAATTTATACTTAATGTGGTTAAATAGCAGAGACATGATTATATATTTTTTTATGTTTATTAAGGTTTATTTATTTACTTGAGAGGCAGAGTTACAGACAGAGAGAGAGACACAGAGAGACATCTTCCATCCAATGGTTCAATCCCCACTTGACTGCAATGGCCAGAGCTGGGCTGATCCAAAGCCCAGGAGCTTCTTCCAGATCTCCCATGTGGGTGTAGGGGCCCAAGCACTTGGGCCATCTTCTACTGCTTTCCCAGGCCATCAGCAAGGAGCTGGATTGGAAATGGAGCAGCTGGGACTGGAACTACTACCCATATGGGATACTGGCACCACAGTCAGATGCTTAACCTATTATGCCATAACACTAGCCCGAGACATGAATATATTTCTAGAAATAATTTTTAGTGTGTAGCTGTAGGTATACAGTGATGAACCACTAGCCAATACCACAAATAAAGTATTTTTTAGACTGTAGTTCTGTGAAACATAAAATTTCAAATGATTTTTCTCAGTATTTTGGGTCATTAGTTATAATTAACAGTTGTGAGGTCAGTGCTTTTAGAAATGTTTGGTGTTAAATGTTGCACAGGATAATACTGTATGTAAGTCTCTACCCTTCCTAGTATTTTGACAGAAGACCACTGTAGCCTTTGTTCATTGCTGTCTGCTTGATTTTATTATATTTGAGTATATGATTAATATATCATAATATTCATAATAACCACATGGCAAATGAACCAGCTGTGCTGACATAAAATTATAAAACATAAAAAAGACAGATTTTCTGTGGCAATATTTATGTGGACATAACCAGTAGCAATAAAATGCTTTGTTTTTTGAGTAAAATTCTTCTCCAAGGTAGATAATATATCCTAGATTTTTAAAAGTGTTTTCTGCCTTACATTTCAGATTTGCATATTTATGTTGAATAATAATCTGATATTAATGTGTCTCATTTGACTGTATTACTAAATGATAACTTCATATTATTTTCTCCTCTTTTTGAACTATCTTGGTAAATTATCTCTGGCCTTTATAGAAAATATTTCTTAATTCAGTATAGCTTCCAGATAGTTATAATGTACCTACACCCAAAGTAGCGCTGAAAAGTAGATTAATTTAGCATCCCCAACTGTCCTGTCATATATTGTAAAATACTATGCTTACATACACATGAAGTTTCATAGTTTTTTTCCCTAAATCTCCCTTCTAATTTAGTTAGCCTGCCTAAACTGGAGTAGGCCTCAGATAAATGTAGAACAGAGAATCCTGCCACACAAACCAACGGCACTGGCATCCCTAGACATGCAGATTCTTGGGCCTTGCCCTAAATTTACTGAATGAGGATTTGCATTTTTCATTTTTTGATATATGTACATTAAATTCTGAGAAGCTTTGGTCTAGAGTTCTATATTCAAGAACACATTGAGCTTTATAATTTATTTGCATAAGGGATGCTATTATAACAAACAATGAATGAGTTGGTTGGTTTTGGGTCTTTTAAATGGGTGACACAATAGTTTGTTTTTGTTTCATTTCAAGGTATCGATGCTGTACGTGGATGAAAGAGGCTCCCATATGAAGGCACCATTTGGATATGCAGAATATGAGTTGATTGCAAGTTGTTACTTAAAACATAACACACTTTTGATCCAATATACAGTGTTATAAATAAGAGATTCTTATTAAATATTAAAATTAATTATGATTTATGAATAAAAGAGGAAGTATCTTCTATCAAAAACTTGGCCTAAATTCATGGGCAGTTTTCACCTAAATAATGTACAGTTTATTTCTTAAAATCCTCATTGATCATCTGATTTTTTTTATTTCAAAAATTGAGACTGTTAAGATATTGTTTCAGATTTAAAAGATTTCATGTCACGTTATAATGTGCTTGATTTGTAAAATCTATGTTACCATTAAGAAGGTAGAGGAAATAAACCAGACTTCTTTTGCTTTTTCCTTCTGATAGGAAATGAGCCTCAGACTTAATGACCTGTCATAGCTATGACTTCATTACAAAGTCCAAATGGCCTGTACTTGAAGATCACCATCCATTTTTATCAGACTTTAATCTACTTCTAGACTTTGCTCCCCATTGGATAATAAGTATGAACACTGAAGCTGGAGCTTTCTGATCAAGCAAATGGCTAGAACACATTTCTAAGAATGAATCCAATGTTCTTACAAAATAATTTTATATCAAACATTTTTCATCTTTTCTGATTTTCGTAATTGGAGGGAAATCTGCAATGTTATTAAGATTGACTTCTGATACACTTTTATGGGCTTAGGTTTTTACAAACATCTTTTTAGGTCATTTCTCCTATTGAATTTAGTAAAAGCATTGAACTTCTGTTAAGAATTCCTTTTGGGTCAATAGATTCTCCCTCTAGTAATATCTCTATTATTTGTCCTGTTAATCCAGTGGTATCTATATTATCTTTGTGTCTTCTCATCAAAACTATGACAGTAAAAGTATGTTTCCTGAAGTACCTATCAAGATTAAATTATGCAAATCATTAAACAAAAATCATATTGTTTTGGAAATTTAGTTCAGTATGAACTAAATGGCATGCTATTTGAAAATTTAGTTTAAGATAATAAGATGTTTTTGTTGATGCCAAAATGTTTGGCTTCACTAAATATACCAAGAAGCTCTTGTGCCTTGTATGCACTATTTACAAAAAAAAGTATTATTTTTTATTTGAATGAACTCTAAGTTTTGTAAATGTTAACAATTAGGATAAGCTGTATACTTTTTTTAGTATTGACTTTGAAAATTTAAAGCAGATTACCTTTTAAAACCACATAATTAACTGGTATGTAATCAAAGAGAAAATGATGATAAACTTTTCAAAATGTTTGTTAGAAAAATATTCAACAAAGATAAACTAAAAGACCAGAGGACAATGGAATAAAAGCTCTTTGTTATTACTTATCCTTGCTAAAAATATGAAGAGTTTTATATTAAATGTGTTTATGGTATGACTTACATCAGCCAAGTCCATTTTGTAAGAGCGCAGTTCTTTGAACAATATAGCAGCAGTCTTTTTCAGACTTTTTTTTTTTTTTAAGCTGAAGAATTTGACAATCTGCTTCAAAAAATCTGGGAAGACATGATATATTCTTGCTTTTACCTTAAAGTTTTTTTTTTCTCTTGGTCATTATTCATTATCCTGAAGTGCCACACTAGAAATGATAACTACTGTTAGAAGTCTTAAGGGCAAGAGCAGCATTTGATGTATTCAGAATCATATGCAGCTACCTATTTTTTCAAAGCACAGGACTACTATAGCGATATCCTGGACTGGATTCTGTTAGGTGTTCCCTCTTGCAAAGCTGGAAGCTAGGGAAAAAAGAGGGATTTGTATCCTTTACCCTGTTAGAGTACTGACAAATTCCCCCTCTGGGTCTTTTATGTATTCATTTAAAAACCTAAGTGAATATACCTAAAAATTGCATTTGGAAAAGTAAAAAAATAAATAAAAATTTTTCATTAAGTTGCAGTGTTTCCCTTTATATTTTCATTCAGTGAATAACCTTTAAAGTATTTTTTGTTTAGGTTACTTTTATTTTTAATACAGGAATTAGACTTTTTGGAGACAGTTGGTTATCTTATTAGATGTACAGCATAAATTTTACCTGAGTGAACAAAACATTAAATAAATGGACTTACATTTTATACATATTCATAAAATTTATTTTAAAGACATTTTAAGCACTGTACTTAAGAGCATACTTCAGCTGTCTTGATTGTCCTTAAAGTGATAATTTTGATTTTCCCTATTTGTAGAGATTTTTACCATGTAGGTATAAAAATTTAAGATATTTCATTTGGAAAATTATATAAAAGCTTCATACACATTAGTTAACTATTTACTGTTGTATTGTGGGAGAGGGTTTTTTTTTTTTTCTGAGATAAAGAACTCTCGTGTCTGAATACAGTGGTGAAGCAGTCAAGGAAGTGCTTATCTAAGAATTCACAACTGAGAGACCTTGAAAGAGTTGTTATCTTCATTAGCTATCTATATGGAATTGTCTTTGCACAAACAATGTTAATTACTTTACACTGTTCCTGATTCTCTACCAGAGCTAATTGGAAAATTTCATATTGGCAATTTGAGGTGGAATGGTGGTAAGATGAGGCTACTCAGTAGTTACATGATTCAGAAAACAATTAGACTATAAAATGTAAGTAAACTGTAATCAGTAGACAGCTATTGGAAATATGGTGTATATTTGACTAAAATCTCTCTTCATCAGGAAAATCAGATGGAAAGGTTTTATAACCCATGTTTATAAAATCTTACACTAACAATCATGACTCGTAGTTCAACAAAACTTACAGTGTTGTAAATTAGCACATTTTCTCTTTTGAAATACATGTAAACTTTCTGGGCTGATTCTAAAGTTATATTCAATACATACTTAACAAACATTTACTTATAAAAGTGAGTTACAAGGTTTTGATAGAAATATAAAACCATAAACACATATAAAAACAATAAAACCAACTTACATTATAAGCTGCAGGGGGAATATCCCCCAATACTTGTCCCACCCACCCTGCAGATGTGCCAATATCCCATCCAACGTGACACATCTCAACGATGGATTTTTCACTAATAACATAAATTTCTAGGTAAGACTCTTCTGTAGAAATTTGAGTAGGAAACCATCTGGCTTAATAACCGATGTTTTAGAAACCTGCATTCCTTTCCCAAAGATAGATAGCCAATTAAGCACATATTATGTAATACATGTGCAAGAGGACTGTTACACACCTTCAGTTACTGTTACTCTTTGTCTTGGTAAAAATTCATAGATTGTATTTTTTATTGAAAATGTGGCAATCTGATCATTTGACATCATTAAAACCATTAACCACATGCCAACGTTAAAGTCTTGATTTTAAAATGGAGTGTTCTGTTCCCTCCAGATTTCCTTTAGAACTTATTATCAAAGGTTCTCATTTTGATACAGAATACAGGAAGTTAAACATTATGATGGTATAAACCATGCACTTTCTTTTTCTCCTTCCCATGAGGATTTGTGATACCTTCTTAAAAAATATTTAATTTTCATTTTATTTGAAAGATAGAACTTGTTCTGCTGGTTCACTCCTCAAGTGCCCACAACAGCCAGGGCTTGGCCAGGCCCAAATGAGGAGCCTGGTATGTGTGAATTAGTATTAATTCATTACAAAGTACCCAGTCAGAAATAATTGTATCATTAGTTTTCTCCTAGCCCTTAACTGTTATATTAAACCTTAATACAAAGGAAGCCTGTATGGAAATGAGTTCATGTGCAAGCATTCCTAATTCAATTCCACCTCAAGCTGTTTACCAAAGGACCCATCACTGCATTTGGCATTGAAGATGAAATTTGGCAGACAATACAGATAATGGACTCTTGAGGTTTCCCTTAGAGGGAAAGATGAACATTTTCTGTTGAAGACCAGATGGCAAATTTTTGAGGCTTTGGAAGCTAAAGTCTAAACCACAGACATTATTTAGGGACTTATCTATTAAGAGAAACTAAATTTCTGCAATTTTTTTTTTTGACAGGCAGAGTTAGACAGTGAGAAAGACAGAGACAAAGGTCTTCCTTCCGTTGGTTCACCCCCCAAATGGCCACTACAGCTGGCGTGCAATGACGATCCGAAGCCAGGAGCCAGGTGCTTCCTCCTGGTCTCCCATGCAGGTGTAGGGCCCAAACACCTGGGCCATCCTCCACTGCCTTCCCGGGCCACAGCAGAGAGCTGGGCTGGAAGAGGAACAACCGTGACAGAATCCAGTGCCCCAACCAGGACTAGAACGTGGGGTGCCGGCGCCACAGGCAGAGGATTAGCCTAGTGAGATGCGGCGCCAGCCTAAAATTTTTATTTTTAAACTTAAAACCTAATTCCAATGGGGGAGAGGGGTACTGCTCAGCTCTGCTAATGAGGGGAGTGGAATCTGGGGGCAGAGATAACATTTTGGTCAAGATGGGTGCAAAGTTAGTGTTGCCTGTCATAAAAACGGATTGAAAATATTTATATGTTAATGCTGATGTGTAATGTAACATCATCTTTTGAAAGTCAGTTTTCACAAGGATACAAGCCAGTCAAGGTAATGCCAAATTACCTAGTTCCAAATGCTGTCTGGTTCTATCTGCATCACTGTGATTCTGTCATTTGCCAAGGAGCAGTATGAAACAATCAGCCTACCATGGCAGTTTCTCACTGTAGCAAAAAAGCCAGACAGTATGTGAAAAATAGACGTGTCTGCCATCCAATAAAATTTTTACTTATGAACACTAAAACCTGAATTTCAAATAGTTTTAAGAATGATTTTTCTCCCTCATTATTTAAAACTAAAAACAATTCTCAGCTCTCTGGCCACACTACAAAAGTTATTAGTGAAATATCTTATCTCTAAAACCTAGAGTTAATAATTCTACCGAAGTTGTAAAATGCTAATTCTTTTAGGGACAGAAACCAAAATTGATACAAGTTATAAAACTCAGTAACTATGTCGCTACCAAAAAGGCAATCAGGCAATCTTTATATTATTTTTTAAAGGATGGGAAGATGAAGTGAACAAAACAAACAAAAACCCCTCAACAACTAGAAAGGAGAACAGAAATAAATTCTTAATTATGTAGCAGAGGTGTTCACAAAGAGCACTATTGAGATGCAGGAGGCTCAGATTGATTTTTCAATGAAACTAAAAATCTCCTAATGTTAATGAAGGAAGTTACTGAGCTCTGTTCAGTTGTTCAAGTAAAAGGAACGAAGACTAACAAGTCCCCTCAATATGTATTTCTAAAATAAAATCACCAGTCATCAACATAATATAAGAAAACATTTCTGAAGCCTTTATTTACAAAAGCTTTAAAAACAAATAATACCCTCTGTTTTGCAAATCATGTTTTGTTTAAAAAGGACCGCCCAGTTACAGTATTATATTGTCAGGAATAAAGAATGTACAGGGGAAACAAACCAATGTGGCTAACATTTGGAGATTTGCTAATATTACTGATTGAAGTGCAGATAACACATTATAACTTGGAGTCCATCATTTCAAGGTAGAGTTAATGATTACCAAAAAGTCTTCCTGCACATGCTCTGGTCTGGTCACATATTCTGCATGGCTAATATTTCACAGTCTCTTTTGTCAAAATATATAAAATAGATTGCAAAGATATACACAAAAAAATAAACAAGCATTACACTCCTCAGGTAGTTTTATTAGCTATACATATATGTATATATATATTTTTGTGTTTTATTTTGCACCAAATCTCTCCATTATTTAACTTTGTAGTAACTATGAAAGCACAATTTTTTTGTCTTTTAATTTGATAAAAATATACCTAAAGACTTGTTATCTTTGGACTTTAAATGAAATTGATTTGTGTAATTAACAAATCAAGGACATTGTAAGTATGGTTACAAAATAAAAAGAAAGGGTAAATAGTGACGGAATAATAAGCAGATCAGGGGACGTGTGCTATCATAAAACTGTACCTTCAACAACATGAATACCAGTTTCCTGGCAGATACTAAATGTCCAATCACAAGGGATTTTTCCTGAAGGGTGTAAAGCTGGTTTGCAAATTCTTCAGTCACAGAGCAGCCTACACAAGCCAATTAGAAACTGACAGACAGCAGATGTGCTTGGAAGATTAAACACTACATATAGAAACAACAGTTACTAAGCTCCTCAGTATTTCCTTGTCTCTTTTTCTTGTTAGTCTTGCTTAATCAACAATTTGCACCATGAAAGTGCTGTAATTTGGGTTCAAAAACAAGAAAATACTGTATAAAGTTGGCAGATGGTCATTTTTCCACCTAAGAGCAAGAAAAACCAAAATATCTGATGGAACAGAGGATTTGAGTCAGAATCACTCTCTAAAGTGCAAAATTGATGGTCCACAATCTCAAATAGCTAAAACTCCTGTAGAATGGAAGGGAGACATGAAACAGGGAAATAAATTACAGTCAGTGCTAGTTAATTTAGGAAAGGGGAAAAACAAACCTCAAGTCAGTAAGTTTATCAAAATATTCAGTATGATGTAGCTTTCCCCACTCTTCTGTCACACACGCTTGCTAACAAGTGTATTAAATTAAGGCCAAATTTTACCTGAATGCATTTCTATTTATTGATATCTGAGATAGGAATGGTCATACTTAGTACTGAAAGGCAGGAAATAAAATGGGCTATGAAAGGGGGGAAAGTATTGTCTATTGTTCAAAGGATTCAACCAGAGATAAAACCTATATACAAGCATGTGTGTAGCTCAAATAAAATAAAAGGACTATTTCATGTCATGACTGCTTGTTGGCTTCCTCTTCATATGCATTCCCTGTGCCATTCTGTACATAGGATGAACCAGAACCAAGGCCATACAAATGACCACAATATTTGGCATCATCAATATGATCTTCAAAGAACATCTAAAAAGGAATTTTGAAGAAAAAAAAGATAATTTTAACCAAAAGTACCAATTGTAGTTTATTTTTCAACAATGTAAGTATCTGACTGTTCATTAACGACAATGACACTCTTTTCTATGGTGTTCCTTTGAGACCACACATATAAGTTCAATGAATAAAACTTAATGTCCTTCAGGAAGTACAGTGCTCAAAAGAAACCAAAGAAAGAGACTATTTAGAAAAAAAAAAAGTGTAAGTGCATGTTTTCCCCATTAATATTTAGACCACTTTTATCAGGATTTGTAAGCATGGAAAAATAAACATTTTTTCATTTCATTATTTTAACAATATTAAACAGCAAGAGGAGTGAAAATAGCCAATGGTGGTGGGAAGAAAATCTTTCCAAGGCTAAAAGAGCTAAAAATAAACTCCAAACGTATTATGGACAATAAAATCTGAACATTCTCACTAAGTTATTGTCCTTGAAAAAGCCAGAAAAGATAAAGCTAACAAATTAGTAGCAAAAACCCACCATTGATTAACCATGAGGGCATTTTTAATGCTGAAAAATTCAAAAGGATGTTTTAAACATTTACTTGCATGAATGGACAGCCAAATCACTTCTGAATCAGTATTACTTGGCAGAACAGCTTTAATGCTTTCTATTATTAACACACTTCTACAAAAGTGTTAAATTCCCAATCCTGGTCAATTCTTTTATGTGTAAGAGGATATATTCAAAAGATTTCTACAGCAAATATATCACAAAAAGGAAAACCGTTTTATAGGCGTAAGCCTGTTCTATTTTGTCTCTGCACAACCAATTTTCTTTTGTGCTTACCCATAACAAATTACAACTATGCATTTCACGTAATTATGAAACCTAGGAGTAGGCTTGGATTTGTTTAATTTCATTCTTCTGTATATAATGCTTTTATATTTGAGGAGCTCATCTCTGCCTTTTGTCACCTGAGGAGCCTCCCAAAATGGCTACTGATTCAATCACATCAGAGTAATTTAAAATGTATGAGTCCTACTCTATGAAATCTTCAAAGCACTGAAGAATGGCATGAGTAAATAGTATTTTTACTGTCAGCTTACGGTCTAAATGAAGACCACACTAGGGGAAACCTAATGTATGCATTCCTTAAGGTGGTAAAAGCAGTAATGATAGAGTCTACTGAAAGAACTCTGGAGTCCTTTCACTAGTATTAAGTTTGATCTTACATAAAAGTTAACTAGTCTCTGGCCTGTTTTCTAAGCTAAGAACTAATACAGTTTGATCTACATGGTTTCTAAGGTACTTTAAATTTTGTTCCTATTAAGAACTTATTCTTCCATTTCTTTCTGAATTATTTTTTAAGATGAGTTATTTTGAATATTTTCACTCAAGTGCGCCAGACATGACTTACATGGTACCTCTAAATTACATCTTCACTTAGTAGGTAATTATTGCCCAAAACTTCTGCCATAAGATTTTTAATGTTCTCAAACTAACAACCAATTGAGAAAAAGGCACTGATGTCTTCATACTTCTCTCATTTTGAAAAAGGCCATTCCTGTGAGTAATGAATCAGATCCTGCCTGATGCTGTGGTCCTATCCGTTCCAGCTCTAACTGTTCAGCAACTTCCTGCAATCCACCCTAGAAAAAAAAAACAACGCTTATCAAAGAGAGAAATACTGCAATTGCAAACTCAGACACTGGCCAAAATATGAATGAACTTTACTATGTAAAGACAAGCCTTGTGAAGATTGAGGGGTTAGAGGGAAAATGTGAATACTAATGTATTGATAATTTGGGAGAAGTTCATAATTTAACAGAAAATGAGCTCCTAACTGGGAAAATTTATCCTTATCATGTTTTAAAGCATATTGTCGGACAGTAACTTTCCTAAAGATATGAGTAAGCACATTATATACAGGGTAACATGTATCAAGCATATTCACAGTTTAATAATACATCAATCATTAGAAAACTGAAGAGCTAGTATTGGTAGTTTCTTTCAATTTTTTATTCCTAATGATCAATCTCTAGTTTTCACTGAAGTAACCTTCATAAAATAAAGCCACTATTAATCAAATCATTAATTCATTTAATACTTAAATTGATTTTGTTAGCTTAAAAGAAAAGGTATGTTAAAAGCATACAACTCTCCAGAATGGTCTGCTACAATGTATGTCAATATTGCTAGGATTAAGAAAGATGATAATGAGTATGAGTGAAAGGAAGAAAAAAGGAATATAAATCAGAAGGAAAGATAAAGAGAGGGAAGAAGAGCGTGAACAGGTAGGAATCCAGCCGGAAGAAAAAGGAAAAACAAAAAAAAAGAAACCAAATAAATTGTTTAAATTAAGGACAATATAAATAAATTAGCCCTTTTACACATCACAACTTGAAACAGTGCTTTCCCTAATAGTTACTACTGTGCTAAAAACAAGAGAATTAGTTATAATCAGCAGTTGCTTAGAACAGACTAGAATAGAACTGAAGACCAGAGGTCAAAAAGTACCTATATCATTTACCTGAATTATAACAAGGCAGCACAGGACATACTCAGAATATCAGATACACTTAAGAAATTTTTCCAATAATATGTACATAATGAGTAATAATTTCATTATTCCTAAAAGCTGTCATTGAACAGACATGTCAATTTAAAAAATATTTCCAGAGCCATATTAAAATATGCAGTCCCTGGATTTTCACCATGCAATACTTTCAGGCAGTGAGCTGAATTTCTGAAACACTAAGGCTATCCTACTGTAAATTCATGTGCTGGAATTACACAGAATTTTGCTAATCTTAAGTGCCACAAACATAGAACAACCTTTCTTCAAAATTTTCCTGGTTATATGCTGAGCATATCCCTATATTGGTAATGCAGTTCATTTGTTAAAAGCTATGTTTCCTTATTCAATTCTTACTTGGTTTCTTTCTGCTAAAAGGCAAAGTTCTGAACATAACTTATTTGCACTTCCAAACCCTGGTGAGGACAAAACTTACTCAACCCTGCTTAGACTGAAGGAACAAGGAACAATGTAGATTCTTTAAAACTAATCAAGAAAAGTTGGAGGGACAAACTAACATTACTAAATATGAGTACATCTGCACATTACCTCAGATTTTAACTCATATGGAAAGATTATGTGTGTGTTGGGAGAGATGAAAAACCATACTTCTGTGCATGAGAGTATATACCTCACTAGTACTAACATTCCAATTCTGCCTCATGATTTTCAATTTGGTACACAATGACAAAAATATGACCCTCAGCTTGAAATGTACTATAAACCTATTCTGTTGAGATATGAGGGTATTTCATAAAGGGAATTTAAAGGCAAATTATTATTTAAGCAAGAAAAATAATCACATGACCAAATATTATAATTGCATTTAATGTAAAACTTAAAATACGTTTAAAACAACATCCCAGCCCAGGGTTTCCCATTAGTCATTAAGTCTGTAATAGTATGCCGACCACAGATAATGCCACCTGAAACCTTACTTTAAGATTTTTGCAGCTCTTCATGAGGTACTTCACATCATAAATGACAGGAAAAAACAAGCGAAGGATCTCAAAGAAGTCAAGTTCTTCTTCGGGCAAATTGGAGTTTGTCAGGATTTTGATTAAATAGCCAAAGTCATAACCACTGAAAAAGGGTTAAAAGAATAACCGAAGAGGGTCAGAGATGAAAAAAATGTTGGTGATACAAATTGTAAGCCAGTCACACTATGGGCTAAGAGGAATCAATCCTCATCACCCTACCCCACAAAAACACAAGTGCATACAAGCACACAGAAAATATATTTCCAACTGTAATGGGACAATGCCATCAACTTAACACACAGTGCAAAGGACTTTATTATTTTGTCATGCAGGCACATCAATATATAGACCCATAATGTCAACCCATGCCTGCAGTCATTAAAATAATCTTGTTAATTCTTTAATAGGGAACACTAAGAAGAATACCAAACTGCCCACAGATATGATCCCACCCCAAATTTAACTACGAAAATAGAGAAGTAAAGACAAATGGAAATTTGGCCAAAAATATAAAAAGTATCAACACAGTTGGTATTTGGAAGGCAAACTAGTGCAGATTTCTGCATCTTTTATATTTGAAAAGTTCACAAAGTCCATAACCAAGTATTTTCACTTCCTTTAAGTGACTTCACTAATAAACTAATAAGTACACTTTCTTTCCTCGTTAAATCTGTTCCCATGTTAGAAAGGCTCCCCAACTGAGATTAACTGGAATGTTGCACAGGAAAGAAAAGTAAAGGCTGAAAGTTCAATTCTAGATAATAAAATACACACTCCTTTATTTTCAAGTCAAGATCTCTTACCCTATCGTTTGTTCTTTTCCATAGTTTTCTGTTTCTACACTCCTGTGCCATAGGTCCTAACCCTCTCCATTGTTTTCCTTTTCTTCCATGATACCTGACAGGAAGCCTTCCCTTAAGAACCCAAGTCCCAAAGATTTCTTATATGGTACAAGCTGTTTTCTTGCAATATCTTTTAGAGTACATGAATCCTTTTCTCCACTAGTAGTTTACAGAGCAAGAATCACATTTTTACAGTCTGTCTTTTTCTCCTTGTACATAGCTGGAACTCAATTTTAGTTCAAAGTCTAACAGGAAAAAAATAATTTTACCATCAAAAAACATTACAGAATATCAAAGCATAAGCTTAAAGAGCGGAAACTTTGAAATTTCTAGTAACTGGCAAAGAGGTAACTTTGTTGGCTACCTAAAATACTAAATTCATGGGGTATTTGCTCACTACTAGTAAAATTAAGACTGTATTTCAAGATTTATCAACTTCTAAAACTATTCTTTAATCGAAATTGAATATGAAGCAAATATCTACTGATATTTAGTGGAACAAAATCTTTTCATAACAAATTTTCATAAATATTTTAAAATACAAGATACTAAGCTAGATTCTAAACTTCAAGAAGATATGAACTTTGTATGTTTTCATTTATCTTAATCCAGTACCTAGCATATACTATTTGCTCGGGGTATTTCTTGTATGGAAAAAATATGTCATATATACTAAAAGGACAGGACAATGCTTTCAGTTCTTTAACAATGATGTCTAGGCACATTCAGAAAAAAAAATCTCTTTAAATTAACAAAGACTTAAGTCTTGTCTCCTGAGGTACAGTTTCAAGTGGAGAACAGAGGGAAAAAGATGGTAAGTGAGAATTAGTCCATCCAGTACCTCCAACTGAAAAATTACTGCTTAATATTACATCAAAATCTACAATATGACCAGTCCATCATTAAAATCACTCTAAAGGCCAGGGTGGAAAGTCTCAAAGCATGCAGGAAATTTCTAGGTAAAATCAATGTGGGAAGTCATCAGGCAATAAAAGCATAACAATGCTTTTTTAAAACAAAAGGTTAAATAAGATACTCCCAAAGTCACTTTCAGTCCCTGGATTGCTGGTATAGTTTACTTACACAGGAAAACATTTGATAATGTCAGAAAGTCTATTTTTACAAAATGAAACTAATTTCCTTTCTAGAAATTCTCTTAAAATTATCTAATTTTATAACAAAAAATTAAAAACCACCACTTTTGGAGAATTTGTTTTGTTAAGCATTTTATTAGTGTTGTTACTGCTTTTTGAAACAAGTTTGCATGGCAGATTTTCTAAGGGATGCCTTCCCTATCACCCTATTTTTTAAAAAGATTTAAATAATTTACTTCTAGACTTCTCTTTGGTGCTTTATTTTCCTCAACAGCATTTACTACTGTCTAACAGATTTTATCACTTGTGAAGATTATGTATTTACTCCTATCAGAATATAAATTCCTGGTGCTGGCATTGTGGTCTAGCAGGTTAAGCTATTGCTTGCAGTATCGGCATCCCATATTAGAGCTCCTTTGAGTCCTGGCTGCTCCACTTCTGATCCAGCTCCTTGCTAATGCACCTGGGAAAGCAATGAAGAGGGCCCAAGTCCTCGGGCCCCAGCACCTATGATAGAGACGCAGAAGCAGCTCCAGGCTCCTGGTTTCAGCCTGGTAAGCTGCAGCCATTGCCACCATCTGGGGAGTGAATCAGCAGATAAAAGACTTCTCTGCCTATGCCTCTCTCTCTCTTAACTTTACCTTTCAAATAAATAAATCTTAAAAAAATTTAAATTCCCTGAGGACAAGGATTTTAGTCTGTTTTGTTTGCAGTTTAATTCCTAGACTCTTATGATAGTCCTTGGCATATGGCAGATAATTTTTTTTAATGAACAGTTTACCTGATACAAACATTAAAAACTAAGACTTAGAAATGTTAAGTAACCATAGGAAAACAATGATTCCAAATGATACTGTTTAATTTTAAACTGAGATCTTTCCATTTTTCCAGTCTGTACTCTTTCCACTATGCAACACTCCTTCTCACAGGCTAACACCTTTTATGGTACAATGACATTAGCTTAGTTAAGAGTTGGAAGACAGCTTTTTTGCAGTCAATTCTTTCTCCAACTTAGCCTTAAACTATTGACACAGTAACCTTAGTAGTGTGAAGCAGTTTTAAGGTAGAAACACAAATGCCATTTTCAATGCAATCTTTTTACCTATGAAATGATAACCATTTGACCCCCTCACAGAGGACCACTCCAGAAGTCATAAGAAGTTCTGCAAAGTACTGGGTCTCAATTCCTTCCTCCTCATGTTTTTTAAATTGGATACCAGATGTTGTTAGCAGCTCTATGGAGTCCTGGGCATACATGTCCTCCCTGGCAGGACAGAGAGAGAGACAACATTCAAAAATGCCAATACTTTAAACAAACATTTTTCTCTTGCTTACAAATACAGTTCCAGAAACAAGACAGAGGAGTGGGCTGGTGTGCCCAATTGTTCAAATACTGCTAATATTATAAGGGCCATTATTTTAGAAAGGTGTCCAAACAGTCAAATCAAAGTAGTCCAATAGTGAAAAGTCAATGTTCACTGTCAAGTTGATTTAATTAACTTTTACATATTAAAAGACTTTAACTGGGTTTATAAAAAGGGTCTTCTACTCACTGTGGCTACCACCACAATATGACACAATCTTACTAGGGCTCTCAATCTCAGCAGCCATTTTAAGGTGGCCAGATGGATATGGGACCACAGACCATTCTGCATTCTCTCAGATGCAATAAGTGTAACATGTGGAAAGCATCTCATGTGGCCGTGTTGAATTACATTCTATTTTAAAGAAAAAGGAGATGTCTCCTTTCACAAAGAACGGGCCTTTCAAATGGCTCTCTCATATAAAGCCAAAGAGAATGTCATCTGTAATTCTCAAGTACACACAGGTTTCTAAACTATCAAAAAAAAAAACAGACTAAAATTCAGATTTACATTTTTGGGAACAGATAAAAAAGTATTTTGTGAATTTAACAACCAAAATATTCAAAGAGAGAAATTTTATCCATCAGTTTAGGTCAAAATTTCCTCTAGATAATCTGTTAGGAAGCGTATCTGAATAAATCCAATGCAAATTTTTTTGATTAGACAATAGTTACAAGTATTATTGACTTTGCTATACCAAGATATTTGCTTTAAAGGGTAGACACTCATCAGGTCTCACTGTAATGTACTCAACTGAGACATGCCATAGCAACTGTAATAACCAAATGCAAAACAGATTTGTCCAGGCTCACAGTATTCTTGGCCTTATGCTCAATTTACTTTTATTTTGTTGTCTCTCTCCCAATCAGTAGGTAAGCTTCAAGAAGGCAATGACTTTCATTTGATTTAATGTTGTATCAACATATCAAACAACACAGGAATGAAGCAGAATAGTGAATGTTGTTTAAATCTGTATTTCCCAACCTTGCTCAATGGAAATTGCCCATAGAACTTACCAAAAACATGGATTCTCAGGTCTCTCTGAAGTGCCAGACCTACTGAATCACAAGCCTCAGATGTTAAGTTTGATTATCCAAATACATGTTTGGGGAGTGGATATCTGGTGCAGAAGTTAAGATGCTACTTGGGATGCTTGCATCCCGTATCAGAGTGCCTGGGTTTAAGTTCCAGGCTCTACTTCTGATCTGGCTTTGTACTGATGTGCATGCTGAGAGACAGCAAGTGATGGCTCAAGCGGTTGGGTCTGCCACCCATGAGGGAAACCCTCATTGAGTTCCTTGCTCCTGGCTTTGGCATGATCCAGGCCTGGCAATTGCAAGGCACTGGGAGAGAGAACGGGTGGATGCAGGAATTCTCTTTTTGCCTCTCAAATAAAAGATTTTTTAAAAAAAGCTATGTATGTAAATTCTTTTTTTTCTGCATAGTTCCCACAGCTGAACTAAGTTCAAGTGCTGTCACTGAAATTTCACAGGACTTAGAATTTTAGAATCTGGAAATTATTATTTTTTTTCTTTCTTTTTTTTTTTTTTTACAGGCCGAGTGGACAGTGAGAGAGACAGAGAGAAAGGTCTTCCTTTGCCGCAGGTTCACCCTCCAATGGCTGCTGCGGCCTGCGCACCGCGCTGATCTGATGGCAGGAGCCAGGTACTTATCCTGGTCTCCCATGGGGTGCAGGGCCCAAGCACTTGGGCCACCCTCATGCTTTATAAAATCCAACTCATTGGGGCCGACAATGTGGCATAGTAGGTTAAGCCTCCACCTGTGGTGCTGGAATCCCATATGGCGCCAGTTCAAGTTCCAGCTGCTCCACTTCCAACCCTGCTCCCTGCTGATGGCCTGAGAAAGCAGTGGAAGATGGACAAAGTCCTTGGGCCCCTGCACCCATGCGGGAGACCTGGAAGAATGCTCTCAGCTCCTGGCTTTGGATCAGCCCAGCTCCAGCAGTTGCAGCCAATTAGGGAGTGAACCAGTGGATGGAAGACCTAGCTATCTGTCTTTCCCTCTCTCTGTCTGTAACTCTGACTCTCAGATAAATAAATACATCTTAAAAAAAAATTCATTAGAAAAAGTGGAAACCCTATTCAGGTAAATTAAATTTTCAAATAGGCTGATGAACATCTGTGATAAGGAAAACTTCCTGTTTCAAGTCTTCAAATCAGTAAACTTGATAGTATTTACTTGAAGTTTAAGAAAAAATTTGTGCTCTGCCTTCCCCAAGCTCAAAAATCTTAGCAAGGGGCTGGCACTGAGGTGTAGTAGGTAAAGCTACTGCCTGCAGTGCCAGCATCCCATATGGGCGCTGGTTCAAGACGTGGCTACTCCATTTCTGATCTAGCTCTCTGCTATGGCCTGTGAAACAAGTGGAAGATGGCCCAATCCCTTGGGCCCCTGCACCCGCGTGGGAGACCTGGAAGAAGCTCCTGGCTCCTTGCTTCTTATCGGTGCAGCTCCAGCCATTGCAGCCAATTGGGGAGTGAACAAATGGATGCAAGACCTCTCTCTCTCTCTCTCTCTCTTTCTATGCCTCTTCTTCTCTGTGTAACTCTGACTTTCAAATAAATAAATAACTCTTTAAAAAAAATCCTAGCAAGTATAAGAAAATATTAAAATATGATAATATTAAAACTAATTAAAATACTTTTAGTCAAAACATAGTAACATTAGCTCACTGATAACAAGATCTTTTCAGAACAGCTATGAATTATGAGATCTCTTGCAATACTAAAGATTAAATAAGTACTGGTTTAAAAGTGGTAGTAAAATATCCAGTTATAAAAACTAAACATGAATGAAAATACATCATTGTACAAATCTCTATAATGTAAAGTTTTCCAAAGGAGCTGCATGGCTATCTTCAGGTAACACCCTAAAGACAAAACTAATTTATGTAGATATACTGAGTCAGTAAATTATTTTGAAATTATTTGCTACAAATATAAACTTAGCCTACTATAGAAATTCACATTCATAAACACAAGGATTAGAGACTATGCAAGTCGGAAATGTACTCTAATCTCAAAGCACGCCTGGTTCAACACAGGAAAACCCATCTGAGAATTTTATAAATTATTTTTCAAAAAGTTGGTTACTCTTACATATTCATCTTAAAAATATTAACTTCCTTAAAAATGCAATCTCTAATATATTTAAATTTATGCTACAATCATAAAACAAACTGGAATACAGACTGTCACAAAATAGGTGGTTACTGAGTTTAACATTTAATGAACTGAAACCAGTAACACAAAGACACACAGAAAATCTTGCAAAGGCTTCTAGACAATAAAACCAAAGGATTTGTAAACTTGAAACAAATTTTGCTTCGACACTAGTTACCAAAGAAAACAAAAATTTTAAACGTTCTCAGAACTCAAAAATAGCAACCTTTTAAAATATGCTAATATTTGATATCTGAATGGGTAAAACAGAATAGGAATTTTCATCAACCTAACCTATAAAATGAACCCAAGTTTTCAAAAAACAATTTCAGCCTCACATCCCTCTTTTCCTTATGCATATATGTGTACATATAAAACATATTAAGAATCTTGAAAATACCCGTATCTTTGGAATAAATAAATGAAGCTGGGGCCGGCACTGTGGAGTAGCTGTAAAGCTGCCACCTGCAGTGCTGGCATCACATATGGGTGCCAGCTCAAGAACTGGCTGCTCCATTTCCCATTCAGCTCTCTGCTGTGGCCTGGGAAATCAGTGGAAGATGGCCCAAGTCCTTGCACCCCTGCACCTGCATGGGAGACCTGGAAGAAGCTCCTGGCTCCTGATGGGCGCAGCTCTGACCGTTGGGGCCACCCCACTGGATGAAGACCTCTCTGTCTCTCTCCCTCTGCCTCTCTGTAACTCTGCCTTTCAAATAAATAAATCTTTTTTAAAAAATGAAGCTTAAAAATATTTCTATGTTTAAACTCAGATATCCAATTCTAATAACCTAAATGGTAAGTGATGATATACAGGTGCTCCCTGATTAATAATGGGGTTATGTTCCTGAGAAACCCATCAACAGAAATTATATGAAACCAAATACATTTAATACACATACTCTACTGGATATCATAGCTTAACAGCAGTTTTGTCACCCTGTGATATCCTGGCTGACTGTGATCTGCATTCAACACCACTGCCCAGAACAAGGAGGAAGTATGTTATTGCTATTGCTAGCCCAGTTTGAAAATATCAAAACCCCATTTGAAGTTCTGATTCTATCGAATGCACAATGGTTTTGCACCATCATGAAGTTGAAAAACTAAACTGTAAGTTAAGTCAGGGACTGTCCATCTGTCAACAGAGGCCCATTAGTTTGAGTAAAAGGACCATTAAAATTTAAAAGCACACAACTTTAATCAAGTTAATGATTAGGTATGTTATGGTATTTCAAAGACAAAGTAAATGACTACAAAGAAATATTAAAAACATGTTCACAATACAACCAATAATGGTACATTCTTAATGAAAACAATGTTTAATCAGTTATAACACTCAGAGAAAATGCTGGGAAAACTGTGCTTGTTGAATTTTAAGAAAAATTTTCTGTATGTCCTTGAAGAAACTTTGTTTTTAAAGACAACACAAAAAAAGACAAAAAACTGTCAGGGAGCATGTTTTATATACACCAATCTCTGGGTCTTATTTTCCTTGCTCTTCTTATCTGAAGTCTACAGGCCTGGATATTAATGTGTAGTCCTTACTTTGCTAAATCCAAAGTGGCTACATGAACAGTGTTTAACTCACCAATAATCTTTAATACCTAAATGAGTAATATGTTAGAGGAAAACACAGATCAACACTAGAATGCTACCATTCTTTAGACAAAGTAAATGACTACAAAGAAATGTTAAAAACATGTTCACATTAATTAATGTTAAAAACATGTTTCATTCTAATTACCATGCTACTGATTTAGACATTAAAATCATACCTTCAAGAATCAGAGAACATTAAATAACCTATAACTAAGACTTGAAATGAATGTCATTTTGACCTCAGATATTTTTAAGCTGTATGCTACTTTGAAGTATCTATATTCTAGTGAAATATACACTATAACTAAAACATCTCAAATCTTTATATCTTCATCTTCCTTTCTATAAAACTTTAAAAAAAATCACTTATTCAGGAAATCGGTTGTCCTAAACCAATCTTTTCCTAGTATGTGAATATCATGAAATAACTTGACTTGTAAAGTTACTTTTCCACTAAAAGCATCAAATTATTTCCCACTTGTTTTCTAAGTCCTTGTTTTTCTCATGGACATTCTAAGTAAGCCAGAGAACTAGGCCAAATAAGTATTTTAAAAGTCAAAATTCTCTACCAAAGTCAGAATATTTGTTCATCTTTCTCTTTATTAATTACTATCCATCTGTTCCACAGGATATAAAGTTCCACTCCATCTGTGCAGTTTCATCTATTTTTAACCATTTGTAATTATTTCCTATTCCTCAAATTCCAACTTTCTACAAGATTTCAAAACTTTTCTGTGTAGTCTTTTGATTACAATCCTCAGCAACTTCCATTTCATATCTAACAACGTATCTTACCATTCATTACTTCATACAAATATCCAACAGTCAGCACCAAAAATATCACTGAATTCTGTCAACGCAATCAATGAATGATAAGCTGATCTTGCTCATAAGCATAGCTGCAGAAACATTAAGACTGCAAAAATCTGAATAATCAAAGATTCACAGGATTGGAACAGGCATTTAGTCTAGGGGTTAAGATACCTGCATCCCACACTGAAAAGCTAATTTGATTCCTGGCTCTTGACTCCAGCTTTCTGCCAATGCAGACTCTGAGAGGCGGCAGTGACAGCTCAAGTAATTAGGTCCCTACCACCTATATGGGAAACCTGGACTGTACCCCCAGCTCCCAGCTTTGGACCCAGCCCAGCTCCAGCTATTGCATGCAATTGAGGAGTGAACCAATATATGAGAGCTCCATATGTTTCTGTCTCAAATAAATATTCACATTTTTTTTAAATCCATAGATTGAACTATAGTCTGACCTTAGGCTTGGTTTGCTCTATCATTTTCCAAACTTACTGACTGCTTAGGATGAGATGAGGATTCTCTAAGCTTCCAACACCCTTTGGCACGTGGTTTCACCTAAACCTGCTTTACAAAGAAATACCAGATCATTAACATATCTATCTCTGCATCTACCCATGTGATGTAGGATGTTTTTCTTTGAGACTCAGATAACCTGCTTGATAGGCAAAGCTAATTGTTACCAATACCTAAGATTCCACGCCACATCATTTCTCAAACAACTTGTTAAGTGTATATCCTCATCCTGAACAGCTTGCTACTCTCCAACTAAAAATTTCCCTTTAATTTGCAAATATGCTGGAGCATTATCTGTAAAACGAAACTAGCTTTTCTTTGATTTTGCTGACCTATTTACATTATTCTCTATCTCCTCTGTTTCAGTTTCACCTTCCTTAATGAAAATATCAGCTTCCTTTCCATTACCACTAAACTGAGATCCCCTGTGATTTCTGGTATTCTATTAAAATGATTCTCTGAAATATCAACAACCAAACTGATGATTTCTTAAAAAGCTCATTCTCTTCCTCTTTATCTTCCCAGTGGAACTGTTCATATATTCCCTTTCTCCTTCACAGCTCATCAATCTTTCAGTTCAATGTTCATGGCTATATCATTCTAAATTCAGTCTGGAAACTCCCATACACCATTAAGTCAGCTAATAATTCCAATTCTTGGACTTGGGCAATAAGCAGCAGATAGAAGATTAAGTAAGCACTAAGCCATAACTATCGTGACTAACTTACTCAACATTACATCCTTTGTGCCTTGCCCAGTGGCTGGCACATTTACTCTAGGAACTCAACAAAGTCAACTGTCATCTATCTTTAAAACTTCTACACTTCTGCTCATGGTGCATGTTCCCTCCATATTAGGTAGTACAGGTTTTATCTTCAATTGACCTTTCTACTTAATGTTTCTTACAACATCCTTCTCAAATATCTCCTAATACACCAACATTAGTGTAAATGGTAGCAAAAATGTTTGTAAAACCTTAGGACCTTGCATATGAGAAATGTCACTCAGAGATTATATTAAGAAAGCAGCCACTGTGATGAAAAAGATATTTCTAGAAAAGCAAACAAGTTTACCAAAACTGAGTATGAGTTTCTTCCTAGAGATACACTGAGGTCACAAGAGCAACTTACTTAAAATCAATGTTCTAACGATTAGTTTTTAAAAAAGTTAATGAACAAGTGAAATTGTACAGGACTAATTGAAGAACACAGTTAAAATTTGAGAAAAGGATAAAAGGCAATTTTTGCAGTGCTTTAGAGCTGTAGTTTTTATAAAAGGCTATCATAGCAGAGGTGAATATATATAATCCATTATAAGATTCTAGAGAATTCACTAATACATAATAATTAACACAATACAATTACAGGCCATCCTACTGTACCACTGACACCACCGCCCTCTGAATTCAGCAGCTCTGATTTCATTAGATCTTAGATGTTAAATAGCACTTTATTTAACAAAGAGTTCTTACATTGGCACTACCATTAACTGCCCTATAGTTTCAAATCAGATGTTAGATCACACTGCAGGTAGAGGCAGTCAAACATGATATAACAATACAGCAGCATACTTAGAATATATTAAACTTTTCATTTCCCATAATACAGTTAGTCAAGTTTTGTCCCCAAACACTGTCAACTTCTCTCAGCTATCATGACGACTTCACCAATGATACATAACAGTACCTAATTAAGGAAACAGGGTTTGGATCCAGGGCTTGATTCAGATTCTAACTATTAGAAACTGAACAATCAACTATACTGTAACTTTTTCTGTAGGCAAATTAAGATTTTGTGGACTGACATAGGAACATAACACTGATTTGAAAGAAAAATGTGTCTAAGAAATGTCTTACTGTACTTAATATACAACCTACTGAAACTAAAGTATGACTATAATAGAAATCTCTTCACAAGAAAGATAACTATTAAAAAGTCTATATTTCAATTTGTGTGCAAAAAGTTTGGAAATTAAAGTAATTCTATGACATTATTTTTTCCATCAAGTATTTTCAAAACCCAAAGTTCTCCAGGTTAACAAAAAAAATGTGACAATCAGATTTTAAAAAAATACTATTTCTAAAAATCAAACTATTGGACTTTAAACATCTTCCTTATACCAATCCTTCTGTCTCTTAATGAAAAGACTCCCAAATTTCGAAATTTTGCATTCGATATACTTCAAGGATAATACACAACACTAATTCAGAATTTAATCACAGTTGAGGGAAATCAATTCTTCAAATTAGTTCACGTTATATGTTTATTTTGCACTTACGTCAAATTAAATTTAAAATTAAACTGCCAAGTTGAAGTTCCTGGAGGGTATTCTCCTTGTTCATTCATAAAGGTCAGTCCTAGCTGAATTATCTTTAACAAGTCTACATTACACCGCAACAGTTGGTACTGATAGTCAGCATTGCTCCTGAATTCGCCAATAGGTCTTGCAACCACACCTGGAAACTCAGTGTCCTGTAAAATAGTTTTAAAATTCATTATCTACCAAATGGTCACAACCACCATTCACAAATCTCTAGAATACATGGTTTTTTATTCAAGTCAAAGAATCTTGTTACAGATGATATTACACATGTTTAAATTCAACTACAAAGTACCTTTTATCCAGGAAGATGATTAATTTTTAGGACCAAAAAATAAAACTCTAAAACTTTTACTCTAAATATACCATAAATAACAAATTAGTCTGTATAAGACACACATGATAAATATAACCAAGTATTTAGACACAAGGGAAGAAAAAAAACCCTCATGTTTCTCAATGAATATGTAAAACTATGTTCACAGTATTCTAATACTAAAACTAAATTGTTTGAAAAACTCTAACCAGTGGAAAATGTATTATATTTTCCAATTACAGTTGTAAGACAAGATTTTTATCTCAACACTAAAAATCACTAAAAGCATAAGCCTTCTAATTTCTTTGGCTAACAGTATTTTTGAATTCAACAAAAACATGCTGTCAAGATTTGCACGCCACCTACTCGTTCCCACATGATATTACTTCTCTGGTGTTGTTAAATCTGACCATCTAAGAAATATATGATCACCACAAACTTTCAATGGATAATAAACTCAATTCTAATTATGGGTAGGCACAACTTTACTAAACAGAACATTATCTAAATACCTATATTCATATTTTAGCCAACCAATTTGTCCCTTGGCAAAAAAGTCTATTTTTTTCATCTATAGTTATGTAACACATTAACATTTCATTCAACAACAGACCACGTATAACACAGTGGTCTAAGATATTATATTGCCTGGTGATGTAGCTCTATAAGTTTGTCCAAGTATCCCCTTCGATGTTCCCACAACAATGAAATTGCCTAACAACGCATTTCTCAGAACATACCTCTTCTGTTAAGTGACACATGGCTATAAATGTATTAAAAACACCGAGAAACTGATTCACCTGTTTAGTATCAGAATTCAAACTAGGGTTAGCTAAGAATAAAAACTAAATATTGAGTCACCATGAAACTGTAAAGAAATTAAAGCTGCCCTAAATTCAACCCAACTCAACAACTACTTTACTGGGTACTGTATGTGCTTACAGGTTTTGAAGGGACAAATGACCATTAAGACACCAATCCCTTGCTTTAGATCTAATAACCTACTGGATGTAGAAAAGTAGAGCAGCTCCAACAGATACTCAAGATATAACAACCCACAGACTGAACAGCATGTACACAAGCAACAACTGCTTAATTTAATAGCACAATGTGTTCACAGAACTCCAGCGATAATTACAAGTTGTAGACCAACAATGTTTCACTGAGAGATCTGATTTTTTGTTTGCCAGATGGCCAGAGCTCCTTTGGTACTATCAAGCCCTGCTGTTTCTAGAAGTTGACCTGGTCTTTATATGTAGGCCCAGAGATCTCCTTGTTGAACATATTCAATTTCATAGAACTTCAGTACCAGGCAAGGCCATTCCACAATCACATGTGAACAAAGACAAATACTGTCCAAAGCAGAAAAATGAGCAAAGATCCTCCACCCTGGCTAAATGAGTGACTTACATCTGTGCAGCTTTTGACTTGCTCTAGTACTCTCTCATTCCAGTAAAAGACCTATTAAGATACCAAATTACAGAATGACCCCCAATTCCCTGACAGCATTCGATATACAGCAAAGCCATGGTTTCTTAAGCTCTACCTAACATTACTGGGCATAAGCCCAAATCTTAGTCCTTTCTAATAATCTCTTACTCATATGCCCCATGGTTCCTGTGGTTCCCAATAAATTTTCTCTCACAATGAGTAATAAACCAAACTTGTCAAATTCCAAACATTTTCCTATGGTTTTTGACTGGAGGATAATTTTTTCAAGATTAAAATAATCCCTAAAAATCAACCAGAAGAGTTCATTTCTCAACTTTTAAATTCCTGCTTTATAAAAAGCATTTTAAAGATTTGTTTAGGGGCCGGCATATTGAGTAAAGCTGCTGCTTGCAATGCCAACATCCCACATGGGCACTGGTTCAAGTCCTGGTTGCTCTACTTACAATCCAGTTCTCTGCTATGGCCTGGGAAAGCAGTAGAAGATGGCTCAAGTCCTTAGGCCCCTGCACCCTCGTGTGAGACCTGGAAGAAGCTCCTGGCTCCTGGCTTCAGATCTGCACAGCTCTGGCCACTGCAGCCATCTAGGGAATCAACCAGTGGATGGAAGACCTCTCTCACCCACTTGCTCTCTCTTGCCTCTGCCTCTTTGTAACGCTGCCTTCAAATAAATCAATCAATCTTAAAAAAAAAAAAAAAAAAAGATTTGGTCAAGGGCATACCATAGCAACGTAATTGTATTTTCGGATAACTTGACGAATTTTCTTCATCTCTTCATCCAGGTTGCAAGCCCAAACTTCACAAATTCTTTGGCTATGATCTACAGTTGCTGCTGGCATAGTGAGGGCACAAGAGTCTAGATGCCAAGCATCAAAATGTTATACTTGATTGAAGATTTGTTTCATAAAATACTTTATCCTTTATTTATGTACCTGTCAAAATAAAAACCAAAATACAAAAAGCTATATCAGAAATATGAATCATAAGAGAATTGAGCTGACAGAAATCTGAAAGAGGATATTTATTCAAAGTCCTAGATTTCATATAAAATCAAAGTTTAAGAAGTGACTTGTTTAAAATCACACAGCTAATGTGTAGGGGAAAAAAAAAACTATAACATTTCCTGGTTCTAATTTCAGTATTATTTTTAACTGTTTTTTATATAGACACACTGAACACATTTTTAAAAGTTTACACTAAAGATTGCTGTGGCTTCAACTCACCCTTCACATAAAACATCATAAAACTATCCATTTCCTAGGAAAAATGAAAAAATAAACACTTATTTACATGCGGCAAGATCAGCTGCTATCATGACAGGGTGTTTGCTTTCATTCCTAACAAAACATTCAAAATCCGACTTGATTACAAGATTTGCTTTATTGGTATTTTTTCAAGTCATATTAAGGGAGACAAATGTAAAAAACAGTTTTAAAAAATGCTGTGAGAGAAAAAAGCTCATACAGCCATTGAAATTAATTGAGTGTCTCTAACTGCAGAAGGAAGAAAGAAGGCAGCAGAATGTCTGCCTAGAAACTGTTGAAGATAGTAGCATTTTTCCTGGTTCTTGAAGACAGTTCTCAGGTTCTGGTCCTTAAACAGGGTTCATGGTACACAACAATACAGATCAACATATTGCTTTTTGGGCAGAGACATTCCAAATGCTCCTTCATTTTTCACACCAATTTGAAGAACAAAAACCCACAACAAACGTTAACAGAGGAGGATTTGTGTTCCGCTTTTGAATTCTGAGAAGTTACAGATACAATCTCCGGTACTCTAATAGAAACCAGAGGAGATTCGGGACCCCCCTTCTTTATAACTCCCCCCACCCACACCCTCCTACACACACTGTGACCCCCTAAGTTTAACAAAGCTTTCTTTCCTCCACCTCTCTCTACTGCAGGTCCAGAAGCCCGAGAGGGGTACCAAACGCCTTTTAACTGAAGAGGCATCTCCGTACTGAAGTCTCCCAGAGAAACAAGAGGACAGCACAGCGGTATTCAAATCATAGATAACGCTCTTCACTGGCAGGGAACGAAGGTGTTGATAACATCTACTGAAACCAGATGGGCTCCCAAACACTGCCGCGTGAACGGTTTTAAGGCGATCTAGGCCACCGCCCTCCTCTTCCAATTTCCGTCCCACATCGAAGCCCCAGGTACAAAGCCTCCGCGTCATCATCCCGCGCCACGCTCTTGACATATACCCCGCCAGCTACCCTCCCCACCCCCAACGGCGGCTAGGCTCTTTCCTCAGCCAGCCACACTCCAGCTGGCGCCATGGCGCACCCTCTCACGACCATGGTTCCCGCCCCCTTCTACTTCCCCAACCAGCCCTTCCCCCCTCAGGTCTGCGACAGACGCCAAGATCTACTTGTGTCGCTGAGCTCGCGCTCCTCCTCTTCCTCCTCGCCATAGAGACAGCACTCGGCGGTAGCGGCGGTGGCGGTAGCGGCGGCGGCGGCAGCGGGTGCCCCATAGACACCTCTCGCCCTGCAAGGGGGAAAGGGGAGCCGGAGCTGCGCCGCACCGCGATGCGCCGTCGCTTCTCTCACGTCCTTGCGGGGGCGCCGGATGATGACGCGATACGCAGGGTGGGTGGGGCGCGCGGGCCGGGGCGTGGCGCGCAGCTGACGGAGGCTGGAGTGCTGGAGCGCTGGGCGGTCCGACTACCTGACTGGCTGGCCTGGGCGTCGGGGCTGTCGCTTTCGGACTGCCTGTCAGAGGCGGCAAGTTGCCCCTCTCCAGCTGCCCGCAGTTAGCGCGTGTGCCCGAGAACCCGGGGACCGCGAGCTGGGTTTGCTTAGAGAGGACGCGGGCCCGCTCCGCTCAGGCCACGGGCGTCCCGGGCCGCTCCGCTGTCGCTGGAGAACGGCGGGGCTTGGCAGCTAGAAAAGCAGGCCAGAGCCTTCCAGGGCCCGGGGCCCAGGGATCCGAGGAGGATGAGCTGGCTCTTTCCCTTGAGCAAGAGCGCCTCCTCCTCCGTGGCTGGGTCTCCCAGTGGCCTCACCAGCCTCCAGCAGCAGAAGCAGCGTCTGATCGAGTCCCTCCGGAACTCACACTCCAGGTGACTGTCGCTGCCTCCCCGACCCGAGGAAAAAGTAGGGCGGGAGGGCGGGGTGGTGCTAACCCCTTCGCGGCTCCTCGGGCCGACTCCCCGCCCGCTGCCTCATTGGATGCACCTCCCCTCCTCCGCGTCTCACACTTGCCGAACCTTACGATCTTCCTCCGTCCCCTCCCTGCTTCCTGCCCCCGGCACTCCTCTGCTCTTCTAATTCTGACCTGCTCATCCCTCCTGACGCGTCGCTGCTGACTCTAATCTCTCTCAGACCATATCTGATATCCCCTGCTCCCCGGCCGTCGTCACTAATCCTTGCCTTTGCCCACCTGATTGCCGCCTTGGTAGAATGGTTAACTTGGCTAAAGAGAATTGCGAAGCATAATCAACAAGTTTTACCGAGAGAAGAAGGAAACCGTTTCAATGTCAAAGATAAGGGCAGTGTGTTGTCAGTGAATTATTCTCGTCCCAGAGCGGCGTTAGCCCTCTTGAGTCTTTAAGATTTACCCGTTCCCAACAACTTCCGCTCGTCTCGCAAGTGTCAGTGTTTATCCATGTCTCACTTTTACATTCCTATCCCCGCACTCAGGAATTGGCTCACATTCATCTTGATTGTTTTCTTGTCTTCCTATGAGTTTTTCTTTGTATTATGGCCAGATTAGAAATACTTTGCCATTCAAATTATTTCAGCTTTTTTTTTTTTTTACTGTAAACTTGTTTGCTGCAGCCTTTTATAAATTGTAAAAGCCTGTGTTCTCTAATGGTTATCAAAAAAGTAGAACTCCTGTATCTTATCAGTTTTGCAAGTAATTTGCTAAAGAATTTTGCAGCATATATTTTATGTACAGATGTAATCATGGTAAAACTCTAACCCTTTTTAAAGTACTCTTTTTGTAATGCATTAAAAAAAGTTTATCCTGAAGTAAAATTGAATAATTCCTTTGAAGGAACTATTAGAGGCGATTTTATCTGTTACATTTTAATAATTTTTTCCAAGCAAGGAAATTGTAATCTAGATTAGTTTTAAATGTATTCCTCAAAGAAAAGTCCACCTCAAAATCATTTTGGCTAAAATAAGGCCTGTTACTGACTGAACCTCAGGTGTTTTTTGTTTATGTCAATTATTCCGCTTGTTTAGGACTTTCAAATGGTGAAAATTTCCTTTGGGAAGAGGAATTCGGATTTCTACAACTCACTTTAGGGGAGAAAGGGAGGTAAGAGGCAGGAGAAAATTAGAGACTTTGTTTCTGATGCCTTCCAGTCTCCTTTCATTCAAAGTCCTCAGAATGCCAAAGCACTGTATCATTTTCTTACTGAGGACAAGAACTTTAAATGTTTTGTATACTGATCTGTAAAAGCTAGTCTGGTAAGACATGTTTTATAAAATGACTGTTTTGTTAAAGATTCGTTTGTTAATTTAAAAGAGTGTCAGGGAAAGACAGAGACAGATCCTCCATCCACTGGTTCATTTCCCAAATAGCCCCAACAGTCAGGGCTATGCGCTTTGGGAGCCTCAGGTGCCCAAGTATTTGGGCCATCCTGTGCTACCTTCTTAGGCACCTTAGCAGAAAGCTGGATTGAAAGGAAAGTAGGTGGGACGCTGAATCAGCTCTCAGATATGGGATATGGCACAAGGCTGGTTCCTAGGGGACTCAACGTAACAAAAGCTTGTCCCCTTAGAAATTGTTACCTTGAAAGACTTTGTACTGCACTAGTCCTATCACAGAAACACTTTTTAGATATATATCTTTGAAATTATTTGCTTTTAAGTCTTTAGTATGTTTTGATAAATATTCCCAGTGCTGGCAAATTTTTATTCTTTGAGGTTGGAGTTGAATTTTTAAAATACTACAGAGTCCTTTGCTGCTAAGGGTAGTATGTAAGGAAACTCATTGATATAAAAAAAAAATTTTGGCCCCTTAAAGTGAGATGGGTTTTAAAACATAAATTATTAAAGTGTTACTGGAGACAGCTGGAATGGAAGTTCTTGCCTCCTGTAAGGAAAGATTTTCAGATGTGAGAAAGACATTGATGATAAACAAGCTAGTAAAGGTTAGGAAACAGTACACCTGACAGACTTGATGAGCAATTCAGCGAAGAACCGAGAGCCCAGTGTGCATTTAGACTGGGGTTTATATGGGCATGGGATGCATCACCATTTCTCCACTGCTCTCCCTCTTCTGGGATATTGCTGGGTGAAGGGCTTTCCAGGTGTAAAATTCATGAAGTCTTCTTGTGGCATTATTACACAGTGTTATTGGGCTAAATAGCTATCCTGGGCCAGGAAGATTTCCCTGGGATGTCTCCAGGAACTGGGATATCCTGCAATAACTCCCCAAAAGTTGATTGGAATTGGTCAAAACTTTTGATATGTAAATACTATGCTGCTTTCACTCCAGCCCTTGTGGTCCTTGGGGAGTGAACCAACCGAGGAAGACCTTTCTGTCTCTCCCTCTCACTGTCTGTAGCTCTACCTCTCAAATAAGAAAATCTTTAAAAATACTATGCTGCTTTCAAGGCATGCTTCTATGTTACTTTCCTCATTTAACCACAGGAAGTTCCATATTCTTTAGGCTCCTCTCACACACCCAGACTAATGTCTAACTTCCTACATAGTGTATGTTCTAGAATTGTCTTCAAAATGTAAAAATCTATGTTGTATGCCATTTTTGAGCCAGAAGTCATGGCTGTGTAATTGAACAGATATTTCATTTGTTACTTATTTTGTGGTATCACAAACATAAAACTTTTAAGTGTTTGATTAAGTTATTCTATAAATATATAAATATGAATATATCAAGTTTTATTTAAAATATTTCTCACAAGTTATGCTTCAGTAATTCTGGAGACATTTGTAGGTCTTGTGCTTACAGTTTTCAAAGAATGTTACAATTCTTGAAAAAATGCCATCTACTTATTCTTAAATCTATCCTTTTAACTAATAACATGCATTTTTAAACCTGCTAGTAAAAATACTCTACTTGTGCAGTATCTGACCATATAGAGCTTGATTAGCCAAATTAGCACAATTTTGCTTAAATTGAATGCTTCAATTTTTTTATGAATAATAAAGAACCTTGATAAATTATGAATATCAATCTTTTTTTTTTAGTTTTTTTCTTTTTTTTGACAGGCAGAGTGGACAGTGAGAGAGAGAGACAGAGACAAAGGTCTTCCTTTTGCCGTTGGTTCATCCTCCAATGGCCGCAGCGGCCGGCGCACCGCGCTGATCCGATGGCAGGAGCCAGGTACTCCTGGTCTCCCATGGGGTGCAGGGCCCAAGTACTCAGGCCATCCTCCACTGTACTCCCTGGCCACAGCAGAGAGCTGGCCTGGAAGAGGGGCAACCGGGACAGAATCCAGTGCCCCGACCAGGACTAGAACCCGGTGTGCCGGCACCGCAAGGTGGAGGATTAGCCTAGTGAGCCACAGCGCCGGCTGAATATCAATCTTTTAAAAAAATTTATTTTATTTATTTGAAAGAGTTACAGAGAGGAGAGACAAAGAGGCATCTTCCATCCAATGGTCGCTCCCCAGATGGTGGCAATAGCTGTGGCTGGGCCAGGCTGAAGCCAGGAGCTTCTTACAGGTCTCCCATGTGGGTGCAGGAGCCAAGCACATGGGCCAGCTTCTGCTGCTTCCCAGGTGCATTAGCAGCCAAATCTGAAGCACAGCAGCCGGGACTGCAGCAGGACTCGAACTGGTGCCCACATAGGATTCTGGCATTTCATTTGCTGGCCTAACCCAGTGTGCCACAACATGAGTCCTGAATACCAGTATCTTACTGCATACTACCCATTCCCCCCAAAATGTCAGGTCAGTAACTCTTTCCTGATTGTGTTTTTCTCCTCTTACCCTATCGAGTAACATTTTCTCCATTTTCTCATCTTTTTTAGCTCTTTCCTAATTCCTTGTAACTGAAGTTTTATTTCAACAGTCTCATTAAGTCCCTTTGTCTAATGGTTGAACGTTTCTTTTTAGCTGCTTTAGTAAGTTTTACCTGTTTATATTCTTTGGGCTTTTCCAAAGGTTAGTTGAAGTTTGTTTTTATGTCTTCCTTTAAGTCTTGCTAGTTCACTGGTACAAAAGGGAAATGGGAAATGACATAGATCGTTAAAAGCAGAGCATAATGTAAGTCTGCTAAGAAAATGGAAATGAAACTTGTGAAGATTGGTCTCAAGCAGTACATCCCATCTCCTGAGTGACAGTTATCACAGTATTCAGTTTACCACTAAAATTCCTGATTTTCTATGCTTAGCTAAAATGAATTCTTTTGTGTCTTTTACTTCCTGAAAAAGTTCACTTTATGGGACATGATTGATTTCCCACCCAAATCTATTTCCCCTTGTGTCCATGGAAGAACATATTTTTATTTTGTATTTCCCTTTTGCCACATATCTAATCAGTACTGGACTCTAAACTGAAAGAGATGAAATGAATGTTTATATCAGTAATTATTTGCTCCTCTACTATTGTTACTCTGGAAGCAGAAAGCTTGGCCTAATCTTATTCAATGAGAGTTGTAGGGAAAGTCTTCTAGGGATTTGGTCAAAATCTCTTAATAGTAAACATGCCTGAGAGGAAAAAGTGGGTGTCTGGAAGGAAGAAATGCCTCTTACGTTTTGGGTACTGTTCTATTACATGAACTTCTAGAACTGCTTGAATTATGAATTGAAAAAGCTGACTATTGAATGTGATAGAATAGAAAGAAGGAATGTACATGACAATGTTTTTAAATTAGTCAACTCTGGAAACTGCCTCTGTGTGGTTTAAGGTAAATATTTTCTCATTTTATTAGTCTGCTTTTTATTACTTAAAAAAAAAATACCTGAGTCAGGCTAACTATAAAGAACCAACTTTATTTTGGATTACAGTTCTGGAGGTGCAACGTCTAGGAACATTATCTGGCATGGATGATCTTTTATTTTTTAAGATTTAATTTATTTGAAAGGCAGAGTTAGAAGGAGGGGAGGGGAGAATTAGAGAGAGGGAGAGAGAAATTGGTCTGA